TCGATTTTCTTCATCAACGCAGCCATCATGTTTCGCATCTCCTCTTGGGTTTCGGTCGTCGCCTTCGTTGTGCCTGGTGCTGGAGCGTCCTTCTCCGTGCCGTTATCGTTGTTGTTGTTATCGTCGAGGATGTTGCTCGTCATGTTCTTCGGATCTTAAAGTCTTGTCGATTTAGAGTAAGAAAGTTTCAATTCCCCACAGACGGCGCCAAATTGTGTGAGCCAAAACTCGCACAACCAAAAATTTGTAAGGAAAAACTAAGGGATCCAAAATTTCTAGGGTAATCGCAAAAACAATAAGATCGAAAGAGGGTTTTTATTGCTGTGAAAGTGTTTAGCCTTTATTGCTTAGGGTTGCAAAAAGTTACCGAATGAATTACATACATTGTCTATTTATACTAACTTTCTAAACCGCCTAGCCGAGAATCTCGAGAGAGATTTTTGGAATATTTTCTTATCGCTTCGTGCGGCCACCGCCTCGAGGCATCGCCTAGGGTTTTTATGGGCTTTCTTCCTTCAAGGCTTCGGTTCGGCCCACTTTCCCTTGTGCACAGCTCGGCCCATCTTCTCTTATGCACGGCGCGGCCCATCTTTGCACGGCGCGGCCCATCTTTCCTTATTCACGGCTCGGCCCATACTTTCTTCTTCCTCACGGCTCGAAATTGTGCGAGCCAAAACTCGCACAACCAAAAATTTGTAAGGAAAAACTAAGGGATCCGAAATTTCTAGGGTAATCGCAAGAACAGTAAGATCAAAAGAAGGTTTTGTTTGCGGTGAAAGTGTTTAGCTTTTATTGCTTAGGGTTGCAAAAAGTTACTGAATGAATTAGATACATTGTCTATTTATACTAACTTTCTAAACCGCATAGCCAAGAATCTCGGGAGAGATTTTTGGAATATTTCCTTATCGCTTCGTGTGGTCACCGCCTCGAGGCATCGCCTAGGGTTTTTATGGGCTTTCTTCCTTCAAGGCTTCGGTTCGGCCCACTTTCCCTTGTGCACAGCTCGGCCCATCTTCTCTTATGCATGGCGCGGCCTATCTCCTCTTATGCACGGCGCGGCCCATCTTTGCACGGCACGGCCCATCTTTCCTTATTTACGGCTCGGCCCATATTTTTTTCCTCCTCACGGCTCGGCCCATTTGAGTTTGGCCAACTCCCCTTACACGCGGCTCGGCCTTTATTTGATGGATCGCCAGTTCTCCCTGCCAGATCGGCTCTCCGATATTTTTGAGATAGTTTAAACCGATTGGGGTGAAACCGACCCCAACACAAGCCAAGCTTAGGAATGGTATTAGCCGCCACAAGATCATAATATGAGTCTTAAATAAACGATGCTTCTTGATCAAATGCTTCTTTAGTCCACGTTTTAAACCGTTGACGAAAGAGAAGCTTTCTGGCTATTTATCCAAGGGATAAGAACTTCCATACTTTTTAGGAGAAATAATCCTTCAAAATAGAATTTAGAAGCTTGACACGAAAATCACATGTTTTAGTAATAAAGCTCACATATGATAAGATTGATAGTGTCAAGCTCTACAAAGCAACTAATGTGTGGAACGAGTTTCCAACTGAATTTAGTAGTGTCAACAAAAAAAAAAAAATCAAATTTCAAAATTCAAATGTTAAAATACAAGTGTAATTAAAAAAAAATTTAAAAAACACTAAAAACAACCATTTACAAGAAAAAAATTAAGTAATGCCTAGTAAGACATAAATTGTATAGTTTTATTAAAAATAATAATAACATTGTCTAATCGACAAAAAATATGTAAAAAATATTAGGAGTACAATGAGTCAATGACTAGAAATTGATGGTAACAATTGATGACTTCACATCAGGGCCGTGCTTATGTATACAAATTAGAAACTTTGGCTTACGGACCATTTTTTAAAAATAAAATTATACATAAATTTTTGTTATTATAGTATTATTATGGTCAAATAAATAATCATAATGTTTTCAGAGGTTTTAAAAAACTAGAAATTATTATTAAAAATGAAAATATTGTAAAAATAAGGTAAATAATCCGTTGATCTTATTCGCACATATCATACTTACAGTCATTTTACCATTAATACGTTAAACTTTTTTTGACAATAAAACATTAAATTTGCACTAATTTATTTTTTAGCCCAAAACTTACATTAAATTTTTAGTGTAATGCTATATCAAGTTGGAATAACGATAGTTATTATTTTAGCAAAAATAATTTTTCTGTATACCGCTTAGGGTCTCCATAACTCTGGGCACGGCTCTGCTTCACATTAACAAATTTTTTTTTAGAATAGTAATACATTATATTTAATAGTAAAATTCATAAATATGGAATCATCAGAGCGACATCGTTCAGACTTTTCACAACCACGATGATATTTGTTAACCGGAACTTCACCACATGATTTTGGATTCGTGGAACTGCATCCTGGAATTGTGTCTTTTGCTATAGCTCCATAACCTAAAGATCTTCCTGCTTCTCCGATTCCACCAAACAGTGATAATATAATCACCATTGTGACAATTAAAAAGGTTGTAAGGCTCTTTTTGGATGCAGCCATTATTCTTCAAAAAAAAAATTGAATTTTCTTGAATTCTTCTGTTTTATTATATTTTTTAATTTGAATAATTGAATACTTAATATTTTTGTATTTCTTTGATTTATAGCTAAAGAGTTATTTCCAAATAAAGAAGGCTAGTGCATAGTGAAGGTACTTAAATTAATACTATAAATGTCATTTGTGGTTAGTAGTTTTGTTTTACTAGCAGAAAATTTTGAAAATAGAAAGATATTTAGTGGTTTCCAACCATAGCAGTAAATTTAAGTTGTTTAACAAAAATGAAAGCGATACATAACTGTCGCAAAAATAAGTTAAATTTTATTATATTTTTGAGCCATTCAAATTTTGGCATTAATGTGGTTACTGGTTAATGTATTAGTAACTCCAAAACTAACTATTAGCAATGTAAGTGAGTTCACCATAATTAACCCATTTTGTTAGATGAATACATACGCTGATACGCATACGTATATTTCAATATATATATACATATATTATATTAATTTTTTATTTATAACATTGTACATGTTGGATTATTTTTGGGTATTATCTTTTGCATAACTTGTAAAATAGAATTTCTAATTTTAAGTCTTAAAATATCTAACTCTTTACACTAGAAACACAGATCATATTATATTTGTTTTAGAAAGAGAATTGCCACAAAACTCAGCTGTGGTCACAAAAAAACTTGGTTGTAAAATAAACATTCAATAATGTCATAGCTGAAATCTTGGGTTGTAAAAGGGTGAAAAGGCTAAAAGCATTAGCATTAGAATTACCCAAGGATCTAAATGACGAAAGATGATTACAAACATGCTTATCAATAGTTGACATTCTCTCCAAATGTTTATTAAATGTTGCTTGAAAAACTTACTGAGGAAGAGAGGGAGTCAATCTTTGTCTGTGGACGAGATGATGGCGATGATGCATTGCCAATCTGTTGAGTATTGAAATTTGAGGAGCCACTTACTTAGAGCCTTCTTTACTTCTTCCGATTATCTACAAGAAAAAAAAAAACAAATGATTATTTGTCTCCATATATAGGATTTTTATAAGATACAAGCAGTGTTTGCTCTCGTTGTACAAGAAATCATATGATCACCCTCGTTGGTAAGCGATTGTGAATCCCTAGCCAAGCGAGGAAAGAGTATTTTAGGATTGAATGAGTAAAACACACACCCTTATGCCAAAAATTTGCATTTATGGGAGTAAGTTTTCTTTGATTTCTTTCTCTTTTAATTACCACATTTAAGTTTTCATTTAAGCAATAAAAAGTTTTCATTTTATTCACACATATATTGCATCCAATTTAAATGATAACAGTAAGCGATTAGGATTTAGGTAAAGAATATCAGTAACATTTATATGCTATTATGATAAGTTCAAAGAGTTTTGATATCTTCAGAGCTGACTAGTTGAGCAGTTATAAGTAAGTAAGTTAAAGGATGATGATGCAAAATAACGCAAAAAAAAAAACCAAAAAAATAACGCAAAAAAAAAATATTAAAATCACTAAGAGAGAGAGAGTTTTTTTCTCAGTTTTGCTGTAAATTCCGATTAACATCGGATCGGCTTTCCGGTTTGATCCGGTTATAATAAATTCCGACGAGTCCGGATTTCCTTTCGGCTTTGTCCGATTTTATTTCCGGTTCTAATCCGGTTTGTTTTGTTTGGTTTCCTGTTCAACGGATTAGCTGTCAAATCGATTAGGTTTTCGTTGAAGCTATTTTGATGATTTGGGGGAAGATTCATCTATTACCGCTGGCGAAATCTAGAGAGGAAGATGCTTCAGTGGTACAATCAGGGTCGAAGAATCCAAGTCACGGCAGCTTGCTGAGATGTGGATGATCGGAATTCCACCGGCGTTTTGCGATGATACTGAAGCGGCGACGATTGAAATCCTTCTCACCACACGTTGTTGTTTTGGTTTCTTTGTAACAAGTATCGAGACACGTGCTTAACTCTGTGGGTTTGGATTTTCTTGGGCTTCAATTTGAGTTTATTGTATAACTTGTAAGTTGTAACTCCCCTTATTGGGCTTTTCAGTTAATGGATTTGCTGACAAAAAAAAAAAATCACTAAAAAATATTTAGATTCAATAACAGCAAAGATAAGAAAGGTTTTATTGAAAAACAAGGAGTTGATCCGCGGTTCGCGCAGAATTTTGTATTGTATTTGTTGACATAGTTAAAAGAAATCTCTACAATATCAATTTTTCATTAGATTTCATTGAGAAAGGAATTTTTTGTTTGTCAGGAGCCCAATTTCCAATCAATAATGTAAACAAAATATTCTCTGCTAAGATCCGAAGATTCGAGAACAAAAGACACAAACACCAAAATTAAGGTCAGTAAGAAAGGAAGAAGAAAGCTGAGAACCTCATGAGTCTTCTAGAAATCACCCAAACACTAACTGACATGTCTCTGAAACTCTGGACATTTCCTTTAACTCTGACGCATATTTGCTCCTACATCTTGATGAGATTGAGAATGTCCCGTCTTAAGACAAGTTGCGTTTGCTAGTATGTACGCACCCACTTTCCTCTCTTGCTTTGTGCCTTCATATTGTTTCCATTCCAAGATCTCAAGATGCTTCGATAAACATTCAGGAACAACTTTTGGTACGATCCACGGGTTCATCAGATCATTGTAATGGTGACAACTATGTTTTGACTCAAGCTTAAGAGATTGAATTTTTGGAGCGTTATTGAGTATACCAGCAAGCAGATTCGTCCAACCTTCAGTACATGTACATAGCTCTAGATGTTTAAGAAAGAAGAAGAAAGTGCCTCTAGGATATGGAGTGTTTGAAGTTGAAGAACAGAGAGAAAGACGTTGGATTGAGGTAAGAGATCCTATGAACTTCTCAGATTGGTCACTGTAAACAACCTCGATATTCGCTTTGGTCACCTCAGGCATATCTTCAAACATGAAAAAGTTACTGCACGTGTCCTTAAAGTTCAGTTTCTCCAAAGCAGGAGCATTTATCACAAACCCAAGATCCTCCTCAACGTAAACGTGTTTCCTTCTTGAGTTATTGATAGATAAACTCCTCAAAGTAGGCACATTGATATTGAATACCTTAACATTGTCATCTTCTGTTCGGTTTATAACCAAATCTTCAAGAGCCTCGCAATTTCTTAAAAGATACGCAACAGAATCATCGCTGGAGAATTCGACCGATAAAAGGTGCAAACTTTTTAGTGATGACCGATAAAATGTAGGAGGAGCAACCGGAAACATCGCAACGTCAAACCTGGTCTGGCTAACACCCAAATATTCAAGAACAGGGCAACTTTGTAAAAGACGTGCAGCAGATTGGTCGCTAGAGAAGTTAACCGATAAAAGGTGGAGACTTTTGAGTGATGGCAACCAAAACCTAACCCCAAAAAGAGGCACATCGTGATATTTGGTTTGTTTAAAACCAAATATTCAAGATCCGGGCAGATTTGTAAAAGACTTGAAACAGTTTCAAAGCCCAAGAACTTAATGGAGAAAAGGTGTAGACTTTTGAGCGAAGGTAAACATAACCCATTCGGAATAACCACGAAACCTACTTCACGAAGTGTATCAATGATTTTAGGGTTTTGCAAGTACTCAAGCATCTCGGTAACACTAGGATTCTTCCAGACAAGTCTATTCTTAGCTTTCTCACAGATCGATTAACCGCGACTTGGACCACAAAATCGATGTTTGAAGCCGATTTTCTTCGGACAAGCTTGAGATGCAATCTTTCTAGGGTTTGAGCATCGTTAGAAAACAAAGATCCATAAACAAAACTCATAACACTCTCATTATCATCATCATTAAGCGTGACATTAGAAACCAGTTTCCAAGGATCTTCCTCCGACCATCGTCTTGATATGAGATTTGTTGCTAAGGTCCTTTTTTTTTTTTTTGATAAATCCTATCGGCTGATCCGGTCGGCTCCGGTAGGAACGCACCGAAGTGCTATAGTGTGGACTTCTCCTTGGTTCAACGGTTCAACGGACACTATGAGCTTCGAGCGAACTCGAGTCAACGGGCCATGAGATTCATGAGATCCAAATGGGCCACCACACTACCTGTCCCGAGTTTGAAATGCCTTCCGACTAATGTCAGGGATAGCCAGATCGTCTGTTACTGGACTACCAGGCAAACTGCTTGGCCCTTTGGCCTAAACCCAGACTTCCCACATAATTTTGTTTTTGTTTTCAGGGAAAATCGAACTTGGGTGAAGTGGTGTAACACCCCACACAACCCTTTCTTACCACTGGACCACGACGATGCGGGCCTAAGGTCTCTTTTAACATCGGAAGCAACGAGAATATCTTCAAGATCAATTCATCTGGCAATTCATTGAGCCTCTTTTTCTCCATGTTTTCGTTTACTCTGGCGAATTTCACTGTTCTTTCCATATTTTTCGTTTGTCCTTGTTAGTTTTGCTCTCAGTTTTGACAAACCCGAAGTATATAGACTTAGGAATGTAACAGAGAAAAAAAATACCCTAGCCAAATTATGTTTCGTGAAAAAATATATATATTTATATATATATATATATATATATAAAAATAAAAATCACAGCCTGGTCTGACCCTAGTCTCACTCGGTAGATGGTCTAGGTCTATTCCTGTGGACACATGGAGCGGGTATGTTACCCATGAGGCCATGATCGCCACTTTTTGTGAATTTTCTTTGTATCTAGGAGATTATTGAGGGCTTCCTCGTGAGATTTTTTGTAATGGTTTTTGTTGGAAGAGTCTAATGCTAGATTCTGATCATATCTACATATATCTATATCAAGCTGCGTTTTAGAGTGTGTAACACTACATGCATTTTAGATGTAATAGAATATATACTTCGTTTTGATAGATTTGATTGCAACAGGCATTGATTTGGGTGCTTTTTGGTATGGCAGGAACTAGAAAGACTAAACCAGAACATGCATGTCATCTTTCAAGTCACAGATTAATCCCTCGAATTAATCAGAATGGTGTCAACAAAAACACTCTACACTATGATCCCTTAGATACTTCAACAATCATACAATGGAGACTTCACAAACAACTTGCCCTCATATGCTCATATGATCCTCCCTTGGCAAGCTCAGAATTGTATCTGACCATCTCCCAGGTGAATGATCGCTGCTGAAAGATGACAACACTGCTGCTTCCGCTCTTGCATCCTTCACCATCTTCAGTACCTCTCTCATCACAGGCCTGTTTTCAGGCTGAATAGCTACGCAAGCTGTGGCAATGCTCAAAAGAGCTTGAAATTTTTTCTCCTCAGAAGAACTCAGCTCCTCTCCTGATTCAGTCTCTGCCTCTCTCACCGCACGCACCCATCTGGAGATATCAGACCCGTATTCATGAACAAGTTCTTGGAATGAGCTTCTACCTGTTAGAAGCTCTAGAAGGAGGACCCCAAAGCTATAGACATCAGCTGGTTGTGTTGAGGACTTGCCTAAGTCTCTGCACTCTGGAGCTTTGTAAAAGAGAGATGATGCACTTGTGTCTTCAACTGAGTCAGGATCTTGGAGATCTCTGAGACCGTAGTCTGTAAGGCAGGACTCGAAATCAGGACCTAACAAAACATTTGATGATTTCAAGTTTCCGTGTGTTAAGCTGGGATTCTGATGAATGTAGACCAGACCCATTGCCAAATCCTCAGCTATTTTCAGACATGATGTCCAGTGAAGTGGCTTCCCACTACCAGAAACCTTACTTCCTAAAAAACACAGACAAAACATATGAATCAGAGAGAATAAACCCATAAGTGTGTGTGTGTGTGTGTCCAATACATACCATGGATAAGAGAGAAGAGACTTCCATTGGGAAAGTAATCATAAACGAGCAGGCATTCTTCTTTTGCTTGGAAATAAGCTCTGAGAGGCACAAGATTATTGTGCTTGAGCCTTCCAAGGATCTCCATGTGTCTCTTGAACTCCTCCATACGAGTAAACCCTGCATCCTTGAGCCTCTTAACAGTGACAATGAAACCAGACTCCATCACCGCCTTGTAAGTACTCCCTAACGTTCCTCTTCCTAGTGTTTCCGCTGAAGCTTTGAGCAGATCATCCATGGTGTATCTCACCACCGTCATGTCTGGTTCACCTCTTCCCAAGAAAACCAGAGCCCCCACCGATCCTTCTTCGCTTCCTCTCTCCCATGAGAACCTTTTGTTTCTCTGGTCACTGTTACCTCTTCCTTCTCTTGTTTCCCCTGCTGACTCTGCCACAGCTTTGCTTCTCCTCTCTCCTCTCATGGATTTGATGGATATAAAAAGCAACGTCAGAAGAAGAAGAATCACAACTCCGCCACTGATGCTCCCTGAAATGATTCCAATGAGCTTGAGCTTCGTTTTGTGCCGTGTTTTGGCTACTGGAATCGCCGACGGCTTCGAAGAGATTCCAACGGTATCATTCCTTTCTCTGCATGAGTGTTGAATCTGATCGCCGCAGAGAGCAATGTTGCCACTAAACGACGACTTCTTGAACCGAGACAGTGCTTGTGTTGGTGGTATTTGGCCAGAGAGCTGATTATTCGAGACATTAAAGAATCTGAGAGTTTCTTGGTTGAGAAGAGGAATGGAGCCGGAGAAGAGATTGTCTTCAAGGCAGAGCGTGTAAAGGCGGGAGAGACGGTGCAAGGAGGTAGGTATCAAGCCGGAAAACCGGTTTCTTGCGAGGACAATGGTTTTTAACCGGTGGAGAGACGTCAGTGATTCAGGGAACTCGCCGGAGAAGTTGTTTTCGTTGAGGAAAAGCGATTTGAGATTGACTAAACCGGAGAGGTTAGGGACTGAGGCTGAGAGAGAGTTGCCTTTGAAACTAAGAACTCGAAGTTGGTCTAATTGGTTTAAGCTCTTCTCATCGAGTGAGCCAGTAAGGTTCAGATTCTCAAGAACAAGCTTTGAGACTCTTTTTCCATTTATGCATCCCTTAACTCCTTCCCAGTTGCAGAGATCTGTTCCTCGCCATTGTATTGAGTTGGATGGATCAATGGATGATTTCAAACTCAGTAGAGCTTCAATGTCGCTTGATCTCACCGGAGAAACCAAGTGGGAAGCTATCATTACTAAGAAGAACATATAGGAGAAAGAAGAAGAAGTGACCATGATAGAATCAAATCGAAGAAGAAGAAGATGAAATTTTGCAACTGATGATTTCTTGTGGCATCTATTATCGAAGTTGTTTTGTCACGGACATATAACAGCTAAGATGTCACGTGAAGCCAATGCTTACTTCAAACTTTTTTTTAATAGCAGAAGAGCAGTTAATCAAATCTCACTTGTCACACTGTCTTTTTCAATGCAGTCACTATTGTATTTCTATATATGATATCTACACACACACACTTACACATATGTACATCATTCAATAATGGATTTTAGTGGAGAGCAAGGAATAAAAAATTGAAGAAAATAGTGAAGTTCTTTTTGTCTTTTATCAGTCTCCAATGTTCAAACTCTCTCATGATTCAGGCAGGTTGGGGACAAAGTACTGAGTGCTGAATAGGGAAGAAGAATGCATTCGACCAATGGTGATATTGAGCAAAATAATTTCTCAATAATTTGAAGTAAACAAAGACTTGTTGCATGTTCAATTTAAGTAATCTGATTTTTGGCTTGTTGCATGTTCAGTTTAAGTAATCTGATTTTTGGCTTGTTGCTTCAAGCAATTATTGAGTTATGTTTCCTCATCTCTTTTGTTACTAAATGTATGCTTATAAACGCAGAACTCTCCTCTATCATTCTAAAGTTTAGAGATGGGATTAGATTTGAATCTTTTGATGTAACGGCTCTTGAACCACGGATTGTTTGAATGATTATAAGGCGTCTTAATGGTTGAATTCTCTTGAGATAGGTCTTTGAGTTCGTACCTTGAACCATATTCATAGTAGAACGGCCAAAACAGAGCATTGTCTCTGCAAAATGAGTAAAAAAAGCAGCAATTACTGGTCATAAAATAGAAGGTTTCAATCATAAGTTCATGTACTTGCGAGATGCAGCAGTATGTAATCCTGCATAATTGCTCGAAATAGCGGTAAATTGCACAAGTCGTAGACGGATCAAAATTGCACAAAACAGAAACACAAGAATTGTATACCTCAAATCACAATTATAATCAAAATCATATATCAGTTACAAGAACCATTTTTGTAGACGTAACTCAAGTTAAAAAAGCACATAATCTGACTCAAAACCACTCCACTCTCCCTCCTATGTTTTCTCATCTGTCCATCGATTTCAAAGTGAAAAAAGATTAATCTTTCAGGCCTCTCATATTGCGAGAAATACACTGGTTTCAATCCGTAGTTTGACGCCTTTTCTTTTTATGTTTTTGCGTCGCATCTGCTTTTTCAACGTCTGTGGTCGATGAACCTTGGATGTTCATCTAAAAGAATGAGATGGTAAGGCTTTTGACAAAATAAGCATGGTCACAAGGTAACAGTAATGAGCAGACTCTACTTTTTACCTTTTCCTGTTTTTGTATACCCTGTCTTCGTGATTTTCTGTTTCCCTTCAACTGCTTCTCCTACATTTAAAAAAGTTTTGCAAGAATTTGGTTAGGGCTCATCTCAAGAAGTCAAAGCACTTGTTGGCATTCTCTCTAACGTCAAAGGAAACCTGAGATGGCGTTTCTGGATCATCAACTTTGTTGTCATTGGTTCTGAGCTTTCCTTCTTTCAGTGATCTCTTATCCTGTTTCCGTGATCCTCTATTTCCTTTGTTCTGCTTCTCCTACATTTAAGATTTTTGCAAGAATTTGATTTAGGAGACATCAGAATAAACCAAAAAACTTATTGGCATTTTCTCAAATGTCAAAAAGAAAACCTGAGATGGCAGCTCTGCATCATCGACTTCTTCATCATTGGTTCTGAGCTTTTCTCCTTTCAGTGCTCTCTTACCCTTTCTCCTTGATCCTCGGTTTCCTTTGTTCTGCTTCTCCTACATTTAAGAATTTTGCAAGAATTTGATTAGGGCTCATCACAATAACTTAAAGAACTTGTAGGCATTTTTTCAAATGTCATAAAGCAAACCTGAGATGGAGTCTCTGGATCATCGACTTCTTCATCATCGGTTCTGAGCTTTTCTCCTTTCAGTAATCTCTCAGAACGAGCGTGCTTCTGAAAACGAGTCAAGCAAAAGTCATGCTTATTATCTTAGATCTTTCGAATCCCAACAGACTAAATACTCAGTCCTAAATCCAATGCCTTTTTAATGATAAAGCTAGCAACTTTACCTTTGAAGAAACATGTTCCTGCATTGATTTCTCATTCAAACAAATGGTCTTTGGACAATATCTGCATTTGTAAACCGATTTGCACTTAATCATACAGCCTAAGATATAGTTCTCTTCTACCTCCTCAGGTGGCTCTTCTAACTCAAATTTACGATTAATAGATGTCTCCTCCAATCTCCTTCCATAGCCATAACCATCAGAGTCATCATCATCCTCATCAACATCAGCAGCTACAACAGAAATTAAACTAAGATCGTCACTTTATTTTCTACCTACATTCTCTAAACATTCTAATCGATTACACTGACAGAGAGAGAAAAGACATGTAATTGAAGAAAGCAAACCTGGGGATTCATCTCCTCCTTCACGCTCAGAGACGGAATCATCATCGTCCTCGGAAACTTCTTCAACGGCGTCTTCGGATTCTGACTCCTCCGATTCTTCTGACTCAGGATCAGAATCAGAAGAGAAGCAAGATGAGTCGGATCCACTGTCTTTATCACCATGCTCAAGCTTGTAAAATCTCCTCTTTATCATTTTTTTTCTATTCGGCAAAGATTAAACCCTGCAAAATCCTAAAATTAGAAATTGAAACTTCTACTGGGATATTAATCGCAAAGGACCAAACTTTGGATTAGAGTGAATAGAAAAAATTGAGACTTTGTACCGTGAGGTTCGCAGAGAGCTTGGAGACTGAAAGGAGGATATTTTGATAAAAGAAAGAGAGAGGGTTTTAGGGTTTAAAGGTTATTTTTGTAGTTAGCTAAATTTTCCAAGGGTGTTTTAGTAATTTAGGTTCTCGAGATTGAATTTGTACATATGTGTCAAAAGTCTCAAAACATAGCCCCAGTGCTTCATTGTCCATCACTAGCAAACGCAGAAAGTTGTTACCTTTGGATTAGCGGTGAGTTACTAGGGTTTATCAATGCAGAATTTATAGGGTTTCGTTCCTTTTACTTCGGATTTCAGCAACTTTCTCGACCCGATTCGTAGTTCTGATAGAAATTTCTTGACTTGTCTACTAAGAGTTAAGACTTTCGTTTGTTTTATCGGGACTGATTCTTTGGAAAAAGATGAGTTCTTTAAGGTTTTTCGAGCTCGATATTGTGAGCTAACAATACTTTTTTTTCTTTGGTTTAGTGAGAGTTGCAAAGATGAAAGATAGAGAAAACGATGGGAATCTTGACAACAGAATCTTCGTGGGAGGGTTGTCTTGGGATGTCACAGAGAGGCAGCTTGAGGATACTTTCGAACGCTACGGAAAAATCATCGAGTGTCAGGTCTACCATCGAACCTCCTTCTTTGCTTGTTCTGCATACATTGAGTGATTGATACAAACAGACGATCAGAGATTCCAGAGGCTCGTGTTGGAACTTGTGTTTAGTGAATGATATCTCTGAGATTTTATGATGGTTTCCTTTAGATGAGCTTAAAAGTCCATCATCTATTTTGTAGAAGAATTGGTTTTATGCACAGATATTTGCCTTGAAGGAGAACACATTCATCTAGTTGGGTTTCTTGACTTGTTGAAGGATGCAGTCGTTGAATTAGTAGAGATTCCTTAGTAAGAAAACACGCATCTCTATCTCTCTCTCACTTGATTTGATCATATGTTTGAGTTTGAGAGCACTATGTTTGACATCAGACTGATCAGAGATTCCTAAGTAGTTTCTCTGTGTTTCCTTTGAGTCAGCGGTATTAGAATACATATCAGTTTGTGTTCGTGGCTTCTGATGTTATGTTGCAAGTCAGTATAAATTTCTGTTTGGCCCTTATTTCCTTGTGTTACTGGACATCTTATCTCTGCCTGTGAAGAGTTTTGTTTTGTCAGCTGCTTTGTTCTGTAACAAGTTCTCCATTTTGGATTAGAAGTAGAAATGTAGATTTAAGTAGCTGAGACCTCGTGTCAGCAGTTTTGATACCAATCAGGACTAACCATCTTTGATTCTCTTGCTTGTCGTATCTGCTTCAGTAGTCACTGAGACGGTTTCTCTGAGCTCATTCACCATGAGCAGCTGTGTCGGAGTAATTGTAAAAGAACTATTTGTTGACACATGGAAGCATCTCTAAGTAACCAATCAGTATGAATATATCTTTACAGCAAGATGATAAGCTGCTGGTCATGATCAGAATATTAGCCTTCTTTTTTAGTGGAATTAGATTGGATAAAAAATTTCGCTGTGGTTGTGTGGCCACGTTAACATTTAGTTGGGTTTAAGAGTATGGTTGGTTAGAGGCTAGGATGATTGATGTGGGAGATACTCCTTGTGGATTTGTATTTGTACAAGTGCGCAGATCTCGTTTGACATTGCGTTGTGTGATTCTAAGGACTTCAAGTGAAGGAAATTTGTTGGTATATGGGTTCGGAACCTTAAATAACATTTCCAAGTAATGTCTCCTGAGTCTTATTGTTGACAAAATGTTCTGAGCCTTACTGTCTTCTGTTTGCTTGAAATTTTTCTATTGCCATTTCTTGGACATGCTATAGAAGAGATAGGAATGCAATATATCTGCTTATTTCCTAACTCTAATGCAACATCTGATTATAATTAATGTATCTTCCTGGCTCTATATTCATTGTTATTTTCAAATGATTTTGGCAAGGATAACTGACAAATTTTTGTTAATATAATGTAAGATGTTTCAAGGTTCTTTCCCCTTACTCTTTCATGTGTAATTAAATGAATGTGCTCTTAGATTATCGGCACTGACTTGATATCACTTCTTAGTGCAGTAACTTTTTTGGTCATCATTTAGTTAGACGCTTCACACAGAGGCTATTGTGCATTTTAATGAAGGATCAATGCTTTCCTTTTGTTATATGTTGGTGTTTCTCTTCTGTAGGTTACAGTGTGTCAATAACTTCTTCTGCATATTGGTTGTCACAACCAAGCGTCTTCAACTTTTTTTTCCATATGATTGCTCTTGTGTTATAGTACCAAATTTTGGCTATACTTTTGCTATTTCATAACATTCGTAGCCTTTGTTGTGTGATTGCAGATCATGGTGGGGAAAGATACTGGCCGTCCACGTGGTTTTGGTTTTATTACATTCACTGATCGCCGAGGAGCTGATAATGCAATTAAGCACATGCACGGGAGGGAGTTGGGTGATAGGGTCATCTCGGTGAACAAGGCTGAGCCCAAGGTTGGAGGAGACGATGTAGACCATTTCCATAAGGGTGGAGGCTACTCATCCAGAGGGAAAGGAAGCCATGGAGGAGCTGAAGATGAGTGCTTTAAGTGTGGACGCCCTGGTCATTGGGCTCGAGAATGCCCATCAGCAGGTGGTGATCGAGGACGGTTCAGAGATCCGCCTACAATACACTCTAGACTTGGAGAACTTGGTGGACACCGAGATCGTTATGGAGATCGTGAGCTGGAGCGTGAACGTGATCGCTACATGGATGTACGTCGTGATGGAGGACGGTATAGCTATAGGGACCGCTTTGAAGGTGGAGACAAGTATGAAACTCGTGATCTCTATCCAATGGAGAGGTTTGTCTAGCTCTTTAACTTTTGGTCCAATTTGGTTCCAACATGTATTTGGTGTTAGGAAAAGTCCTGATCTTTTGATGCATTAACAACAATGTAGATATGGTCCACCTGGAGACCGGTTGGTGAGTGATAGGTATGGGATCCCTGAACACCTTCATCTTGAGGATGATTATGGCAGGAGAGAGAGAGGATATGACAGGGACAGATACGCAAGGGGTGCAAGTGATAGGTATGGAGGAGCTATGGGACCGTTACGTGACGAGGGAAGAGGCTATAGAAGCAGACCAGGTCCTTATGATCGTCCTAGCCGAGCTGGAGGCCGACCTTCTTCATATGAACGTTGGTAGTTTGTTTGGTTTATGGGATATCCTCCATGCTTCTGTTCTTGGGTTTAGGGCTATATCAGAATTGTTATCAACCAGATGGCTATAACTCCATTTATACTTTCGAATATTGTGATTCTTCATCATACTAAATAGTTATGTTTTTTTGTCTTGTTGATTCCCACAAGAAATTCAATAGATTAAACTCAATGCATTCAAGGTAACATAATAAGCTTTCTGAACAGTCTCTCACTCTTAATGTACTAAAATTCTTGAAAAACAGAGTTTTGAGCAAGCTCGGTATCATCTTTGCGGAGTCAGAATAAAAGAAGCAAAAACTCTGAAGTTGAAACTAATCAAAATTAACACAGTAAAGGAAGAACCTTTCAGCATTACAATGAAAGAAAAAGCGTTAAACTAGTAAAAGACAAATAGACAAACAAACACAGCACAAAAGATTCCACAATCTCAAATCTTCAATCAAAAAAAGAACAACAAAAATCTTTTTTTTTCTCACTGACGAAGTTCTCCGATGTAGAAATCCTCGATCATGTCGAAAACACGAGTGGCGTGTTGCGGTCCGAAAAACCCATCAGTAGAATCATCACCAGCATGATCTAGAATGGCGTCACCACCAGGATGCTCTTCAACATAAGAAGTAACATCATAGACCTTATCTTTGATTATAATCCAACAATCGTCTCTTTTGTTATGTAATGCGACTTCACTCTTGCTGTAACATTTAGGCTTCTGTACATCTACAGGCTCATTACTGGATCGCTTCTTCTCCTGATCACCTTTTGATCCTCTTCGCTTACCTTGGATTAAGAACAATGCTGAAACTAGAAAACCCAGAAGCAATCCAATCACAGCTATCATCTTCTTCTCTACTCGAGTAAGCGAATTGGGTTTCCACAGAGGATGAAACTGAGTTTCTTTTGTTTTACAACTGGAGAGAATGGTGGATTAGATCGAGCTAAGCTGACCCAAATGATTGAATGGTAGGGTTTCTCCTATAAACGACGCTTTATATCAGGGGCATAAAAGTCAATTTCATGTACTGTAAATCCTTTTTTTTTTTTTTTTTTTTTTTACTGTAAATCCAATTCCTGAGGTTCCTAATCAGTTTCCTCTAATGGGTTCACAAAAGTCTCTGTCTTTATTGTTTACCGATTTTGGGATTCCGATTTCGATTAGGAAGAGTAAACAGATTCAGATTCTGTGTGGAACAGAGTATTGAATATGTTTGCTTCAATACCTCTTTTAAAGGGTCATGCCATACCCCCAAGTATATTGATGAAGATTGCATTTTCAGTCACTACACACTTCGTAATCTTGTCACTAAGGTTGGGAATGGGATTGAATTTGAACAAAAAGTCCAATTCAGAGAAAGCGGCTTTATGTTTCTTCTGAATTTGGGATAAAGCTTTCTACTATTTGGTGTAGTTTTGTTGTGTTTTAGTGATGCATTGTTGATTTTTCACCAAGCGAACGACATAGTAAACATAGATAGCTCCAAGAATTTACGAACCGGTTTTTGAGTCGACTAGTTGCCAAAAACTGTGTGGATCGCATTTTATTCAATTTCTTTTAAAAAAATTCTAAAACTATCAACTTCATGATTTGCATTTTTACTAGTGTTTTCCCGGCTATTTATTTCTTTGATTTAGTGCTGGTTTGATTTAGTGTTTTCCCGTTTTCAATACTCTCTTTCAATACCTGTCTTTATACTTAAATTTGAAATTTTACTATTCAGAACTTTTGAAATTTGAGGTTTTGAGGTGTTTTTAGAGTGCCTTATACCTCAATTTTAAAGTTATAAAGTATTTTTTTGAAGATGATCTAAAACAATTATGACTTAAAAACTATTACAATGCATAAATCCAGTTTCAACTAAATATATGGGATCAAATATCACAAAAGTGGTTAAGATGTATCTGGAAAATGAACGAGACAAAGAGAAGCAAGTAAAATCATATGGAGTTTTGAAGATCAAAACGAGTGAGTATTATTGTCAATAATTCACAACTCATCAAACTTTCACCATATTTTAAGCAGTTGTTTCACTATATAATATAATAATAAAACTCTTGAAAGATGAGTTTATAGTATATCACAAATTATACAAGATATATTATATTACAAATTCTAAAATAAAATAATTTTATATTATACAAGAAATTTTATAATATAATTTTATATTATATCACTCTTGAAGATGCATATTTCTGTAAGCAATAAGACGATATAAATCAAATTGGTATTGGCAGACTAGGGAATGAGCTCAAAAAAGAGGGTATTGAAAAACTGGATGCACCAAATTTGTACATGTTAAGAAAGATTCAACACACTGGACCAAAGAATCGTGATTCTAATATGTAATTTTTTATTTTGATAGCTGATAGTAACTTTAAGTTGTCCATGAAAAATTTAATGGAGAGGAATGTCAAGGGATCACTACAAGTATACTTTTAGCACATCCAGCATATCAGAATTTTGTAAACAAAGATTTACCATTGTAAAACCATTGTAAAGAGAAGAAATATTCATGGTCTATGTATTATTGTTTTCTATCCTTTCTCTTACCAGTTGTGAACCGAGATTCTGATTTACTAAATCAATGAAAATCTTAGTAAAGAAAAAAAAATCAAGAGTTTTGCTTGCATAATGCTTTTTGTTGCATGGATTTGACATATATATATGTAAAGAGGATAAACTTATGAACGTCTAGTTTAGTAGCTATTGGATTAATTTTAAATCATTTGCATTTGAAGAGTTTATAAGTCTTGACAAAAAAAAAATTCCTGCACATTGTTGTGGTCATTTGTTTTCTTTATTTTAATTTAATTTTTTACTACTTTGATAACACTTAAAAAATAACTTAAAATTTAATATCAGCTATAATAAATAACAACACATGTAGAAAATTAAAAACAACAACAAATGGATACTCATAATTAAGAAGTCATAACAAATTGCAAAAATGAAAATTAACACATGTCTTATTTTAACTGAAATGTATACTCATATTTTCGGTCAAAAAAAAAAGAAAGAAAAACATAGATACTCATCTTTATATGATTTATTATAGAGTCAATTAGCTAGAAATACCAAAAACTAGTCAAAATTAACTAAATAGGAATGACAAGACATAATGTTGGTCAGTATGCCAATTACCATATAGTCCTCTGTTGTTTTTTATTATTATTTACTAACATTATTTTTTTACGAGATATTATTCTCTCTCATTCTAGTTAAAATATAAGTTATTTAGTTGCATAACTTGTTAACAAATTACATATTTTGTTAGCGTGATAAGTTTTTATCTTCTAAAAAAAAGTGTTTATTGTCAAATTATTATTCACTATTCAGAGTGTTATTATCCTTTACCCTCTTTTATTATGATTTTTTCCCATATTAAGTTTCTCTCTCATCATTTTTATTTTGTTAGCATATAAGTTATATAATTATATAACTTGTTATCATGCTATATATTTTGTTAGTATGATAAAGATTATGTTATCTTGCTAACAATAAATTTACATTAATAAAGATGATGTTATCTTGCTAACACTAAATTTGTATTCACTAATAATTTATTTATCATTTCTAATATCTTATTGTTATACGCTAACAATTTATTTATCATCTCTAACATAATATTTGTATTTGTTAACATGTTATGTTTTGTGAATACATTAATTCTTAACTAGAACTATGTTGTTGACAGCTATCTATGTTTTAGAGATTAGACATTAGTAGCTATCCAGATTATTTTGAAGGTCCGATAATAATTTATTTAAAACGATACAAATAAATTTAACATATTAAGAGCTTGTGTATTACACTAAAAAAATAATTAACAATGTTCAACAATCTCTTTCTCAATGTTCATCGAGCTCTCCGCCTTCAAAAATCTCTTTCCCAATCTCAGATCCAGAATTTTAGAGAAAAAACATAATTTCTTATTTACATCAGCATATACATAATTTTAGCTAAGATAAAAAACTAAAATAGCTCTGAATTAGATAAAATCAGCAACTATGATTAGTTTTTCTCTGAAAATCGAAATCAAATCAGAAGAAACCCAGTTAAAAGACAAAGAAAGATAAAGAAACAGACAATACCCAAATGCGATTTCATCATATTGTCTATAAAATTCGACTAGAAAGTTAAAAGAAATAGAAATTTACTAGAGTTTGAAGCAGCAACCTTCAAAACTGTAAATTATCTTCAGTGTCATTAAAGAAGAAGAAGAGAGCTATTTTACGGTGACATTGAAGAAGAAGAGAGCTGTTTTTTTATAGGAAACAAAAGAGAAAATGAAAGATAAATTAGAAAATGAGAGCAGCAGAAATCGAAAGAGTTAGAGAGATGGTATACAAGGGTAAGTGTGTCATATTAAAAAATACACAGTGTCTGAATAGTATATATCTTATTATCTACCTAATTATGAATAGTAACAAAGTCATCCTAAGGCCATCTCCAACGCGGTATCATCCGCGATACGTCAGTGGGCCCGAAGGGCTAGAATGCAAATAAAAACTTTGGGCCGAATTATTTGGACGTACCGTCTCTTCCAGATGAGACCGACGAGCCCGTCTCAAGCCAGTATCGTTGATAACGTGGCGGAAGGTGAGTGGCTGGCATGGAAAGGAAAATGGTGTGTTTTTTCATTTTTTTTTTGCCCGTCCCATTTTGTTTTCGAGAGAGAAGTCGTGTGTTTTTCCCTGAGTCTTTTTCTGTCACCGACGAATCGGTTTACCGGCGCTTTTGACTGCTGAGACGACGAAGCTGTTTCATCGGAACGTCGCGACAAGCAAGGTAAAGATTCCCGACCTCGTAACAATCGTTTCGTGGGTTTTATCGTTTTTAAAATCGAAATTAGGGTTTGAATCAATTTGGGGGAAATTCTAAGGTTCATCGAATTAGTTGAAATTTGGGTTTAATCGGTTCAGTAGTTGGTTGAATCGGCGATAATTTGATTTTCTTTCTCGGTTATTTGAAATCGATTAGCTTTGCGTTTAGGGCTTCGTCGATTTCTGAATAATTTTAGGGTTCCGTTATTCTTTTTCGTTTGATTTCGGAAATCGATTTTCTTTTTAGTTTTCATTCTCCGTTTGTGATTCGAGCATCGTTAATGCGATCTATTTTATCTTTTCGTTTTCAATTATGGGTTCGTATTAATTAGGTTTAGTAAAACATATTGCTCGAATGCTTCTGTTTGTCTTTGTGTTTTCAACTTGTAAAACTGATTACATCAAATGGTTCTGTTTGTTTCGCCTTTGTTGATCAATATGTTGATCACTATGTTTCTTCAAACGGTTTGCATATGTTGATCACTATGAATCTGTTTTCAGGATGCCCATTAGCTACAGTGAGCCATCTTCTGATGAGGAATACATTGAGGACTACAGTTGGATGTTAGAAGATGCCAAGTTCGGCATCCCGGAGAAGTGCATCTGTGGTCGACTGATCGAGCTACAAGGCATGTCTGCTGAGGCGGTTAGGACTCCAGGTCGGCAATACTACAGCTGTCCTGCATGGTTAGAAGAGGTAAGAGTGAAAAGTCATTATATTTTATTTTTCAAAATTGTTGAACGTGATTTTAACCATCAATTTTCAATGTCTTAAGTATGGAACTGGGGAGCATATCTTCAAGTTCTGGGACGAGGCAGTCACAGAGCAACTTGGCATCCTGGAGAGAAGGATTTCGAATCAAAAACGCGACATGGGAAGTGTTGAGAGAGTGCCGGATACAAGCATGGCACTATTAAAGGAGGAGGTCCGAGTGATTCAAGGGGAAGTGGCACGATTGAAGGAGGCCCTAGCTAACCAAGGTGACAGCTACATGTTACTAGGTTTTTTATGTGTTGTTGCAGAGATTACGTACATGTTTAAGTAGGCTTAGGCAGTTGCTAAGTGTTATGCGGCTATGTTCATTTTTCTTAAAACACTTGTGCTATGGTAGAACCGGTATGGTTAGTTGCTATTTTAGTTAAAGACAATGGATTTTGTGTTATGTATTGTATGGTAGAAGTTGGTATTGTTTTTGGTTGTGGTATGGTAAAGACAATGGATTTTGTGTTATTGATTGTATGGTCTTGCTTTTGGTTGTTTGCTTTTGGTTGTTGTTTGGGCATTGATTAGGGCTATGAAAGGACAGATGCGAGCTGAAGAGTAACTTTGAGCAAGGTAACATTAATGAATCCTTTAGTTGTTGTTAAATAGTTAATGATTTCGCCAAATGCTAACGTTAACGTTATCTTTTTCCCCGAGGTTCCATAATCCTGTCCTAAATATGATGGGACATCAACACGGCCAAGGCTCTCTATACGCATGGCTGACAAGGTATTTCATCTCTTTTGTTTTTCCTTTTATGAATTAAAGCTAGTGGTTCATTAATGTGTGTTAGGTGCAGAGTTAGTGTTTAGGTTATGGTAGAGACTGCCTTTCGTTTCAGAAATCATATCAAGTAATGGTAGTTTAAGTTTTATGGTTGAACATTTAATGCACTCTTATTGATGGAAAGAAAACTAAACAGTTGACCTATTATAAAACCGTAAAACTCTTAACAGTCTTAAAAACTTAAAACACTCAAAACACTCAAAACACTTAACACGTTACAATCTTCTTAAACCTAACTCTCGAACCATATGGACTCTCCAAACCCATATGGTAATTCTCAAGGTTTTGTAAACCTCTTGAATAGTCAAGAGGACTATCCTTTCTCCTTTTCACTGCCAATAGATGTAGGATCACCACAAGTGCCCAGGTTTAGTCACGCCGAGGAGCCAACAGTTGTAGCTGCAGACCGCAAAGTCACACCGAGGAGGCAATGGACACCAGCAGAGGACCTTGTCCTCATCTCTGCTTGGTTGAACACCAGCAAGGACCCAATCGTGGGTAATGACCAGAAAGCTGGTGCCTTCTGGTCACGCATCAAGGCCACATTCAACTCGAGCCCGAAACTGAAAGAGTATCCAGATAGAGAGGGGACCCATTGCAAGCAGAGGTGGAGCCGGATGAACGACCAAGTGTGTAAGTTCGTTGGCTGCTATGGCACTGCGGTTAAAGAGCAATCATCCGGCCAAAACGACAACGACGTGATGAAAGCTGCACACCAGATCTTCCTCAACGATCACGGCTTCAAGTTTCAACTGGAGCATGCCTGGAGGGAACTTCGACATGATCAAAAGTGGACTTTGGCGACCACGATAAGAGATGCTGAAAGGGTTAAGCGTAGGAAGTGTGATGAAGGTGCGGTTCATTCACCGCAGACAGAGACTGGTGGAGAGGACACATCAGCTCGGCCTCCAGGAGTAAAAGCTGCAAAAGCAGCTAAGGGCAAGAAAAAATCACCTTCAGCATCCGATCAAGAAGAAGCGAGAGCCTATGCGGACATGAGGAGTATGTGGGATATAAAACAAGTGGACCTGGATAGGAAAGACAAGATCTCAAAACAAAACTTGCTCGAAAAACTACTAGCTCGACCAGGGCCACTTTCTGAGAACGAAATTGTGCTCAAAGACAACTTAATTGCTGCCCTTTTGTCATAAGTTTTTTTTTTAGTGTTTGGTGTCTAAGTGAACGAACTTGCTTTTTGCAGTTGTTTTTAAGTGTTTGTTGAACATGCTTTGAAGTTTATTTAATGAAGTTTATTTAAAGAAGTATGTTTGGTGAACTTGTTTAGTACTTGCCTATATTGCATTCTGATGGGCATTGTATTCTATTTATGTGTATTGGCTATCTTGGTAATGAACTCTTTCTTTTGCAGATTTTAGACGTAATGGAGAAATGGCTGACAAGGAATGAGGGGCCATGTCTTTGCTTTCCCGTGAAATGCTATACCACATGTTATATATCGCTTTAGCAGAGATGATTTGCCATCTCGTTGAACGCTTTTTAAACCATAGACTTTGAAGTTTCTTTGTAAACCACTCATTTGTAATCTCTTTGTAAACTATCTGCCTATATAATACAATCAATACCAAGTTTATTTCCACATATCGTTCTCTGTATTGTGCTTCTCCTCTGTCTTTTATTTGCACTTTTCAGCAACCACATCTCCACCTCCTTTCCAATTTTACATATTGAGAACACAATTCCTTCTTCATATCCTTTTTGTTTTCATATCACAAACACATCTCCATCTTCATATCCTTCCTCTTTTCTTCTAATCACACAAATGGCCTCTTCATCAAACGATTTTTACAATAATGATCTTGATGAAACTTTGGATGAAAATTTTGATGAAATCTTTGATCAACACTTTGACAATGCTTTGAATTCTTTCATAGAACGTCGTCTAAACCTGAAACTGAAGAAGAAGAAAAGAGCATATATTGAAAGACAACGTGAGGAAGGCCACATTCGTTTATGGAATGATTATTTAAGCGAAGATGCTACATACCCTCACAATTTATTCCGCCGCCGTTTTAGAATGAACAAAACATTGTTCATTCGTATTGTTGATCGACTCTCACAAGAAGTGCCTTTTTTCAACAAAGGAGAGATGGGCTACAAAAATGTACAGCCGCAATTCATATGATGGCTTACGGTAGTGCAATGGATGCATGTGACAAGTACCTCTGGTTAGGTGAAAGTACAGCCATTTCTTGCTTGGAAAATTTCACCGAAGCAATAATCTCTTTGTTCGGGGATGAATACTTACGAAGACCAACACGAGAAGATCTTCAACGGCTGCTTGAAAATGGAGAGTCTCATGGATTTCCCGGTATGATTGGCAGCATTGATTGCATGCATTGGGAGTGGAAAAATTGCACTACTGCTTGGAAAGGGCAATACACACGGGGTGCAGGAAAACCGACAATTGTCTTAGAAGGCTGTGGCATCATACGATCTTTGGTTTTGGCATGCCTTTTTTGGACCTCCAGGTACTTTAAACGATATCAATATCTTAGATCGCTCTCCTGTTTTTGATGACATCTTACATGGTAAAGCTCCGAAAGTAAGGTACTCTGTCAACGGTCACAACTATCGTCTACCATATTACCTGACGGATGGTATATATCCAAAATGGGCAACATTTGTCAAGTCTATTCCTCTTCCCCAAAGTGAAAAAGATACATTATTTGCTCAATGCCAAGAATCTGTACGGAAAGATGTCGAAAGAGCTTTCGGAGTCTTCCAAGCCCGATTTGCTATTGTCAAAAATCTCACCTTAATGTGGGATAAAGAGAAGATAGGGAAGATTATGAGAACATGTATCATATTACACAATATGATAGTCGAAGACGAACGACCTACCAACACTCAACTTAATATATCTGAATTCGTACAAGGTGAAAGAAGCATAACTTCATATGTTGATATGAGTTACTCAACAGAACGGCATCGAATTTGATCGGTAATCGGATTCGAGTTCGAGATACCGAAATTCACGATCAATTAAAGGAAGATTTAGTAGAACATATTTGGCATAAATTTGGAGGAACCACTCTTTGAAATTAAGTTTGTATGTTTTTTAAATCTTAAAAAGTTGTATTTCAATAAATCATGTATTCCTATATTAATCACATTTTATGTCATGTATTTATGTAATTTTATTTTCGTATTTATAAAAATATTAAAAAAATAAACGAAATATTAATATTTTAATTAAAACAATCCTTAAATTGGGAATCAAGGTTGGAGGGGTACAAAACATGGAGTCCTTCCCAACTAAAAAATAAATGTGAAATGAAATTAAAAAATAATAAGAAACCCAAAATGGATATTAGCATTAGTGATGCTCTAATACATTTACTTTTTATTATACCTTGTTGTAATATATATGGATAAAAGAATTCCAAAGTGTATGTGACTGTGTTATTCACAAATTGCGGAAGATTAAAAAATTATTCACGAACAAACCTTCTTTCTTCAAAGAGTGGACAAGACAAAAGCAAAACCACAATGGAATAAAAAGTGGTTCTGCTCAAAAAAAAAAAACCACCATTTAATTACTCTCTCCCCCTCTCTCTCTTCGCCGGCTTCTGGAAATCCAAGTTCGCATCTCGCTGACACTCTCTACGAATTACGCCTCTTAATCTTCAGCTCTATTTCTAATTACGATCTCTCGGAGTTCACAGCGTGTTTCTTCACGATTTCATCATCTATTTGCAGCGCCAATCTTTGGGGTTTAGGGTTTTGTAATCGAGTCCATTTTTAGCTCCGTAGAGGCATAAGCATCTTCCTTTTGGCATAATCCGAGGTGGGTTTCTTTTGGGTCTAATCAATTTTCCTTCTTTTGGCTTTGCTTCCCTTGTGATTCCGAATTGCTAAAACCCTAAATTGAACATGTTTCTCGGCGAGCTTCGTAGCTCAAAATTACTCACCGTAGATGATTCCAATGGATAATTACTGCGTACCGAGCACTAGCACGACTGGTTTAGTATTCCCGGCGAATTCGAGCATGGCTGCTTCTTCGGGATTCCACCTTACTGTAAATTCTCCGGCTGGACTCAAACATGAAGCTGCTTTGGCTGTTGACTGGTCTGTTGAGGAACAGTATATATTGGAGAAAGGCCTTGCAAAGTAAGTGTTTTTATCTTTGTTTTTTTTTGGCTCTCTGCGAAGTTTTGTTACTTCGTTAGCTAGTATACACCGTTAAAGTAGAGAATTATTATATCTTTTGAGAAGTAGTGAACACATTAGATATTTTACTTAGGGTTTAAGGATGTAGATGTAAAAGAAAAGGATGTGCCTTTGCGTCTCATAGATAATGTAATAGCACGTATAGTTATCTCGAATCATAAGCCGAGTCATGTTCTTATAGATATAACAGTTTTGTACCTTTAGATTTCTAGGAAAGCTGGCTGAGATTTTCTATCTCTCCTACTTGAATGGTAGTTTCTACCTCTAATTGTTTTTTGCTGTATCTAGGTCGTTCTTTTGTTTCTAGTGCATGAAACTTTCATTGCCTTTTGTAGATTTAAAAATGAACCACAAGTCACGAAGTATGTAAAGATCGCATCAACTCTACCAGATAAAAGTGTACGGGATGTAGCAATGAGGTGTAAATGGATGACGGTAAGCTTCTAACTTCTTGAGTTCTTCAAACTGTTCTTTTGCTTGTGAGTTGAACGAAAAATATAATAAAGTAGTAATACGGTGTGTGGCTGTCATAAAATATTGGTGCAAGAGATATTTCTATTACTATTAAAGTATATGCAAAGTATTAGGGAACCAACATGGTGATGCTACTTTGTGTATATGCTTTGTTAAAGATAAAGTCCTATAGGAAAAGTTCTTTTATATTTTTTTTGGCTATAAGGTAGTCTTAAAGTTTTATTGCTCTATTCATCAAAAGACACCGTACGATATCATAAAGGTTATGTAAAGTATTGTTAAGAGTGTGCAAGGAGAGAAATAACAAGTATGCTGACGACAGATCGGGCTTTCTGTTAGCTCTGGAGTCACGTTGGAACTTGATTTGACCTTAAGCCGATAAGCTTGATTTTATTTCTGTAGTTACCCTGAGACTATTATCGCTTTATGGGTGATGTCAGATAATCCCTGGTCTTTTTGAACTTTCTAAAATTGATTTTGACATGTAACCTTTAATGGAGAATAATATTTCATATGGCCGACTTGGGAGTTATGAAGAAATGATTAAACATTGTTTGTATTTTCTGCAGTATGGCTATTGTTAGATTCACATAATAAAGTGGGAAAACTAAGTTAACAAATTATAGTGCCAAATATTACCTTATCGTCTTTTCCTTACTGTCTCTACCCTTTCATATTTCTTCTATGAAGTTGGGCTGAAGAAAAATGGATAGATATCTTATGACTTGAGTTGTACAACCTGACATATGACTCGTTCCAACATAAGCCCTTTTAATGTTTATAATAACTGCTACTTTGCTATTGTTTTATATTTTTTAACTACTCAAATCCATTATCTTTAAGCTTGTCTTGGCTAAGAATGGCATCCTTTTTTACAGCAAAAACGAAGAAAAGGGGAAGAACATAGTGCCGGGACCAAGGTTAGCTACAGAAAGGTATGTTTGCTTAATTGAACCCATGGTTATATCTTCTTCTGTAACTTTGTTAACAAATGAGGGTAGATGGCCTAGATTGTATATTGCTTTAGAAGAGGTTATTGGCCGCAATTGGATTTTTCTTTAAACAGCAAACTTGTTCTCCTTGAGAAACCTAACATACAACTAAATGATTTCTTCTTGATTAAGGTGGTGGATTTACCACCAAAGCTGAATATGTTCTCCACCATGCCACAACAAAATGCTACATATGTCATGAACCATATGTGCCAGAGTGCACGCATGCCTTTTGAAGGTTAGTACTATTTGGATCACAGCATTGTCGGCATCATTTTCTTCTTCTCTTCTCACCTGACACCTTTTTATGTTTCGTATATATCCCAAACTCTCATGTTCTTAGGTTTAAGTGATGCAGTTATGGAGCTTCTACGGCAGAACGCTCAAGCTTTCAGTCAAATTTCTTCAAACCTTTCTGCGTGCAAGGTATTTGATTTGTATTATTGTCTTTGCAATCGTAAGTGGGTGAATCTGAGCCAAATGCTTTGGTAGAAAGAGATTGGCATGAGTAGGAAACTTACTGTTTTGTTGGGGTACATCTCGTATTCCTTTTTAGCGGAATTCCCATCCTGACATCCTATTTTCTGCATACAGCCACAGGATAACATCAGTCTGTTTTATCTGGCAAGAAATAACATCAGTTCCATCTTGAATGAGTATGTGGATCTATTAGCACGATGAATCACCAATGATGCATTTCCTCTGTCGTCTTTCTCTTTCTCTTTTATAAAAAAGCTTGATTTGCTGAACTCTTACTTCTCATTGCTGCAGCATGAAGGAGATGCCTGGTATCATCAGCCGGATGCCACCTCTGCCCGTTTCAATTAACAATGATCTTGCTAGCAGGTTAATGACGAGTACACCACAGGTAAGCAATTTTGCTTTTTCCCTGAACATGGTTTGGATAAGAACCTTATATAGGTATGATGTTCCTGATTATTATAGGGATTTAAAAACCTCAGATGTTTCCTCTACCAAATCTGCCTTTGTTACATGAAAATATCTCATCGCTTAAAAAAAAAAAGAATTCTAATATGTTATGGGATTGTGATCTTGTACAATGAACATTTGCTGAATTATGGAGAACCTTACTGTATCGTTTGGTTCACTTCATATTTGATGTTAAAATAGAATGTTTTAATTGTCTCTCAGCCGAGATCTTATATCATTCCTTCGAGTATCCATCTGAAGCAGGAGCCAAAAAACTGATGGGGACAAAACTGGATTTTGACCAATGCTAAAGGAAATAGCACAAGAAACCGATAAATGGCAGTTGTTCGATGTGACCTGGACTGAAAGACGATTGGTTTATCGACTGCAAAAACACACTAGATTGAACAAGATGGAGATCTTGTGGAACCCTTTGTGCTGTCGGCTAATATGGCGTGGAAGGGTTATTAACACTTAACCGCAGGCTAGCCAAAAACCCTTTTTCAAACCCTTTCATGTCTCGAAAACTGATTACTTTATCGGTGCGAAAATGCTTTGGTGGTCAATCCAAGATATGAATTTGTTGCACAGATCCGTGGTAGACTTGGTTGTATAGATTAGCTGTTTCTGTAAGGTATTAGATGAAGAGTTATTTAAGTTTGTATTAAGAACACATCTTTGTAACGTTTGCTCTTCATAATTATGCTCAGAACATTGAGGCAAAAATTCATATGTTTTGAAACTAGTGTTCGTTATGCTCAGATATTTTCAATGCTTACTTTATTCTTGAAGGCAGTTAGTTATTACTGATACACATAGATTATCCTTGAAGGCATTTTACACTTATATTCAGGTCTCCGTGGGAATGAATCAAAATCTCAAAGACATACGTTACAATCAATGTCATGCAACCAAAACCAGAGAAACTCTCAGTCTGATTTTAAGCGGTTTTCCATGAAGACAACGGTGGAGTGTCGGAGTTCTTGTAGGTGGGCACCATGGCCATGTATCTTTCTCCTTTCACAGACTCTGGTTGGCTAATGGCCTCCAGCTCAGCCATCTCTTCTGGAGTGAGTTTCACTGATAAAGCTCCAATGTTCTGGTTAAAGTTTTCGATCCTGGTGGTTCCTGGGATGGGGCAAACATCATCTCCCTGGTGGTGAACCCATGCGAGTGCTAGCTGTGCGGGAGTGCATCCTTTCTTCTCAGACATTGCACAAACCTTCTCGTAAAGAATCTTGTTGTGGTCTAAGTTTTCTTGTTGGAACCTTGGTAGTCTCTGCAATACAAGACAGAATTGAGCAAATACACAGTCACATTCTCAGGTTACTTACAAGGCTCATCAATCAAACAAGTCCTACAACAAAACGTTTGTTCTTGCCTTTCTGAAGTCATTATTGTTAAGATTCTCAACAAGCTTGGGTCCAGATGCGAAGAAACCTTTTCCTAGAGGACTGTAGGCAACAATCCCGATCCCAAGTTCCCTGAAGAAAGGAAAAAGTGAACATGATTGATGAAATATTGCAACAAAGAAAGAAAGGATGAAATCTAGATACCTGCAGGTCGGGACGATATCGTCTTCCACGTCTCTCGCCCACAAGGACCACTCTAGCTGCACAGCAGTTATTGGGTGAACAGCATGCGCTCTTCTGATAGTTGAAGCAGAGGCTTCAGACAAACCAATGTACTTTATTTTACCCTCTTCAACTAGCTTCTTGAGTTCTCCCATCTTAAAGACAAAATGTTAAAGTTCAGCAAAAAGGTGAGGAAAGAGTCATCAAGTGTTGGAAAACTAATTAGAGCTCAGAACCAACAATAATTGATTGATGAAGAAAGACTCAAACTCACTAAGTCAAAGAACACTACACCAGAAAAGAGTGTTCCAAGGGTAAAAACATATAGTCCCAACATAGCCCAAGGCAAAAATGAACACTATATAACATCAATGTCATTTGATAGTCCGAATGCTTACAGTGATTTCGATAGGGACACAAGTATCAATCCGATGCTGGTAATAAAGATCAATGCATTCCACATCTAGACGCTTTAAACTAGCTTCACAAGATGCTCTCACATACGCAGGATCTCCTTTTATCTCCAACTTCACGTCTGTATAAATGATTCCGAATTTGGACGCAAGTTCCACTTTCTCCCTCATCCCGTTCTTGAGAGCCTGCCAGATCATTTCAAAACTTCAAGAATCAAATCTTTTCTTCTACAAATATGAAACTCAGATAAAACAAGATCAAACCGAACCTTTCCGACGAGCAACTCGTTTGTGTGAGGGCCGTACATGTCGGAGGTGTCAAGGAAAGTAATGCCGGAGTCAATGGCGTGGTGGAGAAGAGCGATGGCTTCAGTTTCCGGCTTCGGAACACCGTAGAAGGCGGAGAGGCTCATGCAACCAAGACCTTGCGCCGATACTTCAAGGCCTTGGCTTCCCAGCTTCATCCTCTTCAATCCGCAAGAGTCCGCCATTGATTTAGCTCACACCTCTTTCTTTCTCTGTTTCTCTCTCTCTGTGTGACTCTTGTAGAGTTTTGAATTGAGTGGAGAGGAGTGTGAAGGTAAATGATAAGGGAAAGAAAAATAGAGCCGTACAACATCAACATCAAACGAAAATGCAAAAAAAAAAAAAAAAAAAAACCAATTTAATTTGTCAATCTTTCTCTTTTAGAGTTCTTGAATTTAGTTCTGGATATTTTTACTACTTTTACTAAACTTATCAAGGTATTTTACTAAACTTATTAAGGTATTTTACTTTACACAAAAAAATAGAAACATCTTTGAATTAATATGCTTCCAAAACAAAAAATCTTTGAATTAAAATGATATACACGGGTGTACTAGTATATAACATTGTAAATAACCTCTTTTTTTTTTTTTTTTTGGAGAAAGAACATTGTGAATAACTTGATCTTAAGAAAGCTTGATCATCATAAAATTCAGACATTTCAAAGTTTTATAAAGTCTGCTAAAACTTAGTGAACACTTGAATCATATGCATAATTTATACTTGAATGCATATAGACCCTGTGAGATTATTGAAGCCCCTTATGCATAGCATAGCATTGGTCTAACTCTCGAAGATGCAAAACAAACAACCTCAACATATTATTACCTCGTATTGGGCTGGCGGACATATAAGCTACACCACTTCATTGCCATGTAAGTAAAACTCTCAACTGGTTTTAAGCGGCTTTCCAGGAAGACAACGGTGGAGTGTCAGAGTTCCTGAAGGTGGGCACATTGGCCATGCATCTTTCTCCTCTCACAGACTCTGATTGGCCAATGACGTCGAGCTCAGCCATCTCTTCTGGAGTGAGTTTCACTGATTAAGCTCCAATGTTCTGATTGAGGTTTTCGATCTTGGTGGTTCCAGGGATGGGGCAAACATCATCTCCCTGGTGGTGAACCCATGTGAGGGATAGTTGTGCAGGAGTGCATCCTTTCTTCTCCAACATCGCACAAACCTTCTCGTAAAGAATCTTGTTGTGGACTAAGTTTTCCTGTTGGAATCTTGGTAAAGTCTGCACTAAGAAACAGAAGAGCAAATGACAGTTGGTTGATTGATTAATTACCTAAAGTATATCTAAGGTTCATCAATCAAACAAGGCTTACAAAGCATATGTACTAGCCTTTCTGTAGTCATTATTGTCTAGATTTTCAAGAAGCTTGGGTCCAGATGCGAAGAAACCTCTTCCTAGAGGACTATAGGCAACAATCCCAATCCCAAGTTCCCTGAAAAAGGAAAGAGAAGACATTACATGATTTGATTCTTAAAGAGAAAGAGTGTTGAACTCTGTTGGATATTCTCTATGAACAAACTTCAAGACAGTAAATAAACCAGTAGAGAAATCAGCATTTGCCTTCAACTTCTAAGTTTTATTCTCAAAGAAAGAAAGAGGAGACGTTACATTTGATGGATAGTGCACCAAGAAAAGAGGATGAGATCTGGATACCTGCAGGTCGGGATGATTTCTTCTTCCACGTCTCTCGTCCACAAGGACCACTCTAGCTGCACAGCAGTTACTGGGTGAACCGCATGGGCTCTTCTGATAGTTGAGGCAGAGGCTTCAGATAAACCGATGTACTTTATTTTTCTTTCTTCAACCAGCTTCTTCAGCTCTCCCATCTTGGAATAACAGAAAAAAATGAAATTGTTAAGTTCATCAAAATGCTTTCTAAAGGTCAGGAATGTCACAAACAAATTATTTGAGCTCAGAAGCAACCCTAAATGATAGATGAGGAAAGATGAGAAGGCCGTAAATTTCTCTCAGTCAAAGATCATTTCACCAGATATTAGTTCTTAACGAATAAGCTAGCAATATGTTAAAACTCAATTACCAAAACCGTCTTCTTATCAATCAAGATTACAATCAAGAACCCTAACTATATTGGAGATTATTGCAGAGATCTCCCAACTCTCCCATAGCCAAAAGGCTCCCAACTAACAAATGGTCAAGGAAACCAATCTATTTCCCTTTCACTCTATAGTAATTCACAATATCAGAAAGAGAGACACAAGCAGAAAAACATTTGTCCCCAAATCTATTTTCTTTGACAATATTGGTTCCAACATATCCCAAGCCAAAGAAGTGATGCTCACTGAACTATAACTTCCGTTTTCATTTAGAAAAACTGAAAAACCATCGCATGAAGTAGCATTGGGAAAGAAGGTCTTTACAGTGATTTCGATAGGAACACGAGTATCTATACGATGCTGATAATAGAGATCAATACAGGCAACATCTAGACGCTTTAAACTAGCCTCACAAGCAGCTCTAACATACGCAGGATCTCCCTTGATCTCTCTCTTTCCTTCTGCACCATAAATGATTCCGAATTTGGTCGCAAGCTCCACTTTCTCCCTCATCCCGTTCTTCAGGGCCTGATAAAATTCAAAATTTGCAACAATGGAATCCTTTCTACAGATACAATGATCAAAGAATCGAGGAGGGAAATCAGAAATCCCCAGCTATAAAGTGGTTATTTCATCTTTGTTGCCCAAGTCAAAAATCTGGGAAAATCTGTCGAACAATCAAACAAAACATGATCTAACAAAACATGATCGGGAATTTCAAAAACCGAACCTTGCTGAGAGGCAACTCGTTGGTCTCAGGACCGTAGCTGTCGGAGGTATCAAGGAAAGTGACGCCGGATTCGATTGCGTGGTGGAGAAGAACGATGGGATCAGTTTTCGGCTCCGGAACACTGAAGAAGGCGGAGAGGCTCATGCAACCAAGACCCTGCGCCGATACTTCAAAGCCTTGGCTTCCCAGTTTCATCCTCCTCACTCCACAGTCCGCCATGGATGAGTGGAAGTGGTTTGTTGCAGTTCGATTGGTGAGTGGCGATGATGAACAAGAAAGGTGACACCTTTTTTTTAGAGCGAGAGGCTACATAATTTAGGAAAAAATAGGCTTAGAAGCCATAATCTAATAATTAATAAAATCCTTGCTTCTTCCTTACTTGTTTCTTTAATTATAGTAATACTAGGGTTAAACCTAATCAAATCTAATGACTCATGAATATCCGTTTAACCTATTGATATTTTTATTTATCTCAAATAATTAAATAATTATATTAATATTTTATTATCAAACGAACAAAAATATGTGTTCTTCTTCTCTTCGACGATCTTATAGCTTTTTCCAAAATCTTGCTGAATCTTCTTTCTTTGATTTATGGAGATCAATCCTTCGCCGCCGCTCCCTCCATCTCCGAAACAATGGTTCTCAAGAACGCAGATCTTCCAGATCTGTTGCGTCTCGGCTTCTGATTAGTTGCAGTTTGATTTCTCTCCGCCTCCCATCGATCACGATCTCCTTGTAAGATTTCTTCTTTGTGGCTCCTGAAATAACAACAATTTCCCCAGTATAAAACAGTATTGGAAGTCATTGCTGAAAGGATTTTTGAGAAATGGATTTCTGATTTTTGTTTTTGTTTATGGGACTCGTGAATGTGAAGGACAATTAGTGTTTCTGGAGGAAAAGTTTCAGAAGATAGTGTTATAAAGAGACTTAACATGGCTGAGATCAGGAAGAATAAAAGGGAGGAAAATTTGCGGAAGAAGAGACGCAAGGGGCTCTCGGTCGCAGCACAATCAGGACAAGATCTTTCTTCAGTGAAGCGTCTTCATTTGGTCGTCCTCTGTTTTGTGCTTGGTCTGATGTTTCAGAATCGTTAATGGTGGTAAGTTGATATAATCTTGATGCCATATTCAAGTTCATGCAACTTTCTCTGCTACCGCAAAGGTTACATGTCTGTCATGAATAAACACATTCACTTAGAATTTTTCACTGATAGTGGTTCAGATTATGGAACTCAGAGCAGCCATAATAGAATTTTAATGATTCAAATGCGCTAAACCATATTCGAACCAGTGTTTCAGTTTATATTTTACGTGTTTTTGATAAAGGTTTGTTTCAGATTTGTAAATGCAGGTCTCCACATTGAGATACATACCCTTTAAACCAACAGTTCTCACTTATTGGCTTATGAATGGTGCAGCGATCAATATCAGCAATATATCGACTGGGAAATGCTTAGCTAAGATAACACCAAACAGTGGACCTCCAAAAGAAGATGAGAGTAGTCGCACTTGTTTAGGGAAGAACTCAAAGCAAAGAAGAAACGCTGTTGCTGAAGCTTTATTCTAGGACGTATACACAAGAAACAGGTTCATGTGTGGTCTAATTGATTTCACATCACATCATCAGCGTTAGCCATTATGAATTTTTGGCTGTATTTGAGATGTTATCTTGAATAGTTTGATAATGTTAACAATTTTATGATGAAAAAAAAATATGATTTTGCATAACTTGTATTATGAAAACGTTGTAAATACATTACAATAGTCAAAAAAATCTTATGAACAACTACAACATAATTATTTGTATCAAGGTACAACTACAAAAACGCTAAAATCGCAAAAGGACAACTATTAAGAATTTTGGACAACTGGACACTTAAGTACAATTGGACAACTATGTACCTAAGTGTCCAGTTGTCCAAAATTCTTCATAGTTATCCTTTGGAGACAAAAAAAATATGTGCGCAGTCAAAATAACATGTGCGTCGTAAGTCGTCAATTTTGAACATAGTTGTCCATACTTGTCCAGTTGTCCAAAATTTTTCTTTATATGTTTAATTAAATTAATTATTAATTTTTTTTAGCAGTTGCATAAAGTTGTCCTTACTTGTCCAGTTGTCCCTTGTTTATTCACATCCACTAAGCTAAAGAACACGTGCCCCAACAAAAATAGACACGTGCGCAGTCAAAGTACCACGTGCGCCGTCAATTTTGTACATAGTTGTACCCAATTGTCCAGTTGTCCAAAATTCTTCATTGTTTTCCTTTGGCGATTTTAGCATTTTTCCAGTTGTCCTTTAGTATAAATTATTATTTTGTAGTTGTCCACATGATTTTCGACTATTGCAGTTCATTTACAAGGTTTTCATGACACAAATTATGCAAAATCATAAATTTGCATCTTTTCCATCAAAAGATTGTTAACCTTATGAAAGTCTTCCTTGTATCATAAGGGATGTTTGATGTGAAATCAATAATATGTATTAGGAAAATGAAATTTTTATTTTATCCATGTTATTAATATTGTTCCTTATACTTTAAGACATGTTTGTATTTCTTAAGTATATACTTTCTTTATATATTTAATTTAGTTTAATTATTATTATTTTTTTAAATTAATGAGTTGCATATAGTTGTCCTTACTTGTCCAGTTGTCCTTTGCTTATTCACATCCACGAAGCTAAGCCCCGACAAAAATAGACATGTGCGCAGTCAAAGTGTCACGTGCGTCGTCAATTTTGTACATAGTTGTACCCAATTGTCCAATTGTCCAGAATTCTTCATAGTTGTCCTTTGGCGATTTTAGCATTTTTCTAGTTGTCCCTTGATATAAATTATTATTTTGTAGTTGTCCACATGATTTTTGACTACTATAGTCCATTTACAACATTTTCATACTACAATTTATGCAAAATCATAATTTTGCATCTTTTCCACCATAAAATTGTTAACATTATCAAAGTCTTCTTTGTATCATAAAAGGTGTTTGATGTCAAACCAATAATATGTATTAGAAAAATTATTATTTCATATTATCCATCTTTTTAATTTTATTCCTTATAGTTTTTAATCTTTTTGCATTTTTAACTGAATGCTTTCTTTTGATTCTTATAATTTTATTATTATTATTTTCTAATTAAAGAATTACATATAGTTGTACAAGTGTCCAGTTGTACCTTGTTAATTTCTATCCTGAAAGCATTCTCAGCCAAAAATAAAATCCTCTATACTAAATTGACTTTCCTAAGTGTACAGATGTCTGTCAAATTAAGAAACATGTGCACCTATGTATATAGTCAATTTTTGTATATAGTTGTACCTAATTGTCCAGTTGTCTGAAAATTTAATAGTTGTTCTTTTGAGATTTTAGCGTTTACATTGATTTTCAACTATTAATTTTCAGTTAAGAGGTTTTCATATTACAAGTTATGTAAAATCATATATTTTGTCTCTTTTGTTTCATAACATGATTAACAATATAATATAGATGTAATAAGTTATATGCTCTAAATATGAGATAGTAAATGATATAACATAGATGAAATTTCTTGAAATCCATTGAAATGTTTGTGTGGTTGATGCTCATTATCTCTTGAAAATAGAATAAAAGAATTCTCAATTAGCAATTATTCAAGTTGTTTTAGTTATACATATTTTTACTAGTTGTTATCTATCTCATAGTTGTACCATTTGTACTAGTTGTCTTCTATTTCTTAGTTGTACCATTTGTACCAGTTGTCTTTTATCTTTTAGTTGTATCATTTGTACTAGTTGTTCTTTTCTGCAGATGTGGTGATGAACTCAGGTTCTAATTCTAATCTACCTAAAAATCACAGAGATTCAACAACTAAACTCCATAATTTATGGACCATAAATTACCAATGCAAAGACCTAATAATCACATAAAACTTGGTTACCAATCCAATTTGCATACTGAAACAAATAATTTTCACAAATCCAATACCTAAATTGTGAAATCCCTAAATCCCTAAATAAGAACAAATCACCCAGATTTAAAGCTTCAACAATGGTAGAGGAGAAAGGAGATAAGAACAAGAAATTAATTGCAGAGGAAGAGGAAAAGGAGACGAAGACAAGGATTCGACGAAAAAGATGGATTTAGCTGGTTTTCAGATTCATTGACAACAAACTATCGGGAAACAAAATGAGCTCAAGAAAAAAAAACCAAAAATTTAAAAAATTAATTATTAGTGTCAATTAAAATTATTTAAACAATAACAAATTTGGACAATTTCACAAATGCCACAAGAATCTTTCATTAAGGGTAAAATTGAGAATATACATAGTTTATGGCATCCAGACTCAGTTATGGTACCTAAGATTTTTCTTTTCCAAATTATGGCATTTTGGCCATTGATTCTTTTTTTTTACGAAACTAAAAATGGATTTTTTTTTTGTCGTAAAAATGGAATTTATAAACCCAAAAGAGTTGAAAAAGAATTTGATGTCTTGATAAAAGTTCAAATATTTCAATGGTTACTATTCGGTTGCAGGATGAAGTAAAAAAATGGACTAAAGTCAGTGAGCTGATGGATGATCAAAGCAGAGAGAATGGAGAAAAGAGGATCTGCAGCAAAATACTTCATGAACCTGATCTAAGTCTTGTGGGTAAAATTAAACCAGGTGGTTTAGCAAGTCAAGATTCATATTGCTGGGACTAAGACGGATCAGTACCAGTGTAAAGCTCTATTGAGGTTGATAAACCAGTGTATAACTCTATTGGTTAATGCTAAGTTGAAGACTTGAAGTTGAGCAAAAAAATAAAGATATATATTATTTCGATGTCTCGTAGATAGCTTGGTGAACTCTCGAATCAAAGTTTACTTTAATCTTGTAAGGCATAAACCCTGAGAGATTGTTGAAGCCCCTATGCAAAAGTGCAACTCTCGAAGATGCAACACAACAACTTCAACATATTATTATTACTTTGTATTAGGCTGACATAAGCTAAACCACATCAATGCCATGTAAGTACTACCATAACCAGAGAAACTCTCAGTCTGATTTTATGCGGTTTTCCATGAAGACAATGGTGGAGTGTCAGAGTTCTTGAAGGTGGGCACCATGGCCATGTATCTTTCTCCCTTCACAGACTCTGGTTGGCTAATGGCCTCGAGCTCAGCCATATCTTCTGGAGTGAGTTTCACTGATAAAGCTCCAATGTTCTGGTTAAAGTTTTCGATCCTGGTGGTTCCTGGGATGGGGCAAACATCATCTCCCTGGTGATGAACCCATGCGAGTGCTAGCTGTGCGGGAGTGCATCCTTTCTTCTCAGACATTACACAAACCTTCTCGTACAGAATCTTGTTGTGGTCTAAGTTTTCCTGTTGGAATCTTGGTAGTCTCTGCAATAAGAAACAGAATTGAGAAAATATACAGTCACATTCTCAGCTAGGCTCATCAATCAAACAAGTCCTACAACAAAACGTTTGAACTTGCCTTTCTGAAGTCATCTTTGTCTAGCGTCTCAACAAGTTTTGGTCCAGATGCAAAGAAACCTTTTCCTAGAGGACTGTAAGCAACAATCCCGATCCCAAGTTCCCTGAAGAAAGGAAAAAAAGTGAACAATGAAGTTGCTTGATTTATGAAGAATGCACCAAGAAAGGAGGCTAAAATCTTGATACCTGCAGGTCGGGACGATTTCTTCTTCAACGTCTCTCGTCCACAAGGACCACTCTAGCTGCACAGCAGTTATTGGGTGAACAGCATGCGCTCTTCTGATAGTTGAGGCAGAGGCTTCAGACAAACCGATGTACTTTATTTTACCCTCTTCAACTAGCTTCTTGAGTTCTCCCATCTTAAAGACAAAAGAAACTGTTAAAGTTCAACAAAAAGGTGAGGAAAAAACTCAAATTTCTATAAAAGTCATCAAGCATTGGCAAACCCATTAAAGCTCAGAACCAACAATAATTGATTGATGAAGAAAGATTCTAAATTCATCTAAGTCAAAGAACTCTTCACCAGAAACAGAGAGAGATAGTGTTCCAAGGGAAAAATATAGTCACAACATATCACAAGGCAAAGATTAACACTATATAACTTCCATTTCATTTGATTGTAAGAATACTTACAGTGATTTCGATAGGGACACTAGTATCGATCCGATGCTGGTAATAAAGATCAATGCATTCCACATCTAGACGCTTTAAACTAGCCTCACAAGATGCTCTAACATACGCAGGATCTCCTTTTATCTCCATCTTTCCCTCTGTATAAATGATTCCGAATTTGGACGCAAGTTCCACTTTCTCCCTCATCCCGTTCTTGAGAGCCTGGCAGATCATTTCAAAACTTCAAGAATCAAATTTTTTTTCTTCTACAGATATGAAGCTCGATCAAATAAAGCAAGATCAATCACAAAAACCGAACCTTGCCGATGAGCAACTCGTTTGTGTGAGGACCGTACATGTCGGAGGTGTCAAGAAAAGTAACGCCGGAGTTAATTGCATGGTGGAGGAAAGCGATGTCGTCATTTTCCGGTACGGAAGAACCGTAGCGAGCGGAGAGACCCATGCAACCAAGACCTTGCGCGGATACCTCAAGGCCTTGACTTCCAAGCTTCATTCTCTTCACTCTGCAAGCTTCCGCCATGGATTTCTCTCACAACTCTCTCTCTCTCTCTGTCTCGCTTCTCTATGTGACTCTTGTAAAGCTATGAGTTGAGTGGAGTTGGTGATGATGAAGAATCGATTTTTCTTTGGTTGGTGAAGAAGACTAGCATAAACAAAGACTAGCATTAACAAAGACTAAAACATTTATAAATTGTTGACTTGTACTCCTTTTGTCTAAACATAAGTTAGGATCTTGTCTTCATCTTATCTAAATAATAATTTTGACACAAGAAACTTTATTTTTTGTCTTTCTCATAAGTTTTTGCCTTTTTGGTGAGCCGGTGAGTAACAAATTAAGTTCTGTTTCAAACTTTCTTTTAGTTTTTCTTCTATTATTATTTATTTTATTTATATTTGGATCTTCATCTTGCATATTGTTAACATACTCTGAAGTTTGAACATAACAGATCTTTTTCTATAGAGATTGGTCACAACAATGTATAAAAATGTAAATTGAAGTTTTCACTTGGGGAACTCTATACATATTCTTTCTTTTTCTATAGAGATTGGTCACAACAATGTATAAAAATGTAAATTGAAGTTTTCACTTGGGGAACTCTATACATATTCTTCAAGGCATTTCTTCTGAAACTCTCAAAAGATGCAACCACATCAACAATCTTGATCTCGCTGACAGAGTTAAGACTGCTTCAATGTCAGGCACCACCACAACAGAGAAACTCAGCCGGGTTTAAGCGGCTTTCCAAGAAGACAATGGTGGAGTGTCTGAGTTCTTGAAAGTGGTCGCGATGTTACCGTGTCTTTCTCCTTTAACAGACTCTTGTTGGCCAATGACCTCGAGCTCAGCCATCTCTTCTGGAGTGAGTTTCACTGATAAAGCTCCAATGTTCTGATCCAGGTTTTCGATTTTAGTGGTTCCAGGGATAGGGCAAACATCATCTCCCTGGTGGTGAACCCACGCGAGTGCTAGTTGTGCTGGAGTGCATCCTTTCTTCTCAGACATTGCACAAACCTTCTCGTAGAGAATCTTGTTGTGGTCTAAGTTTTCTTGTTGGAATCTTGGTAGAGTCTGCAATAAGAAACAGAATTGAGCAAAATATATAAGATTCATCAATCAAACAAGACTACAAGTCATACAAAACCTTTGTACTTGCCTTTCTAAAGTCATTATTTTCTAGGTTCTCAACAAGCTTGGGTCCTGATGCAAAGAAACCTCGTCCCAGAGGACTGTAAGCAACAATTCCAATCCCAAGTTCCCTAAAGAACGAAAGTAAAGATGATGTTCATTTAAGTATTAGTATAATGCACCATGAAAAGAAGAGCAAAATCTGCATTGACTCCCTTACCTGCAGGTCGGGATGATTTCTTCTTCCACGTCTCTCGTCCACAAAGACCATTCTAACTGCACAGCAGTTATTGGGTGAACCGCATGCGCTCTTCTGATAGTTGAAGCAGAGGCTTCAGACAAACCAATGTACTTTATTTTACCTTCTTCAACCAGCTTCTTCAGTTCTCCCATCTTGCAAATTGACAAAACAATAAAAGAACTTGTTAAGAACAGCAAAAGGTGTCTTCTTTCTACCAAGGAAGTGAAGTGCGACTCCAAGCAGATAACTTTTTCATTTCATTTTGAGGGTAAGAAGGCTTACAGTGATTTCGATAGGGACACGAGTATCAATCCGATGCTGATAATAAAGATCAATGCTTTTCACATCTAGACGCTTTAAACTAGCCTCACAAGCAGCTCTCACATACAAAGGATCTCCCTTTATCTCTCTCTTCCCCTCTGCAAAGCTGATTCCAAATTTGCTTGCAAGCTCTACTTTCTCCCTAAACCCATCTTTGAGAGCCTGACAAAAAAATTTGAACTTTTTAAATAATTAATCATTTCTAAAGAGTCAGATGCCAATTCCAAATCTCTAAAGTCGAATCTTTATTTTCCAATAAGATAGCAGAGCTCAAATACTTTGGAAAATCTCTCAAAAACTCATCTCGATTTAACTAAAATCAAAGCGAAAATGATCAGATCGAAGATCGGGAATTTCGAAATCCGAACCTTTCCGAGGAGAAACTCGTTGGTCTCAGGACCGTAGATGTCGGAGGTGTCAAGGAAAGTGACGCCGGATTCGATTGCGTGGCGGAGAAGAGCGATGGCTTCAGTTTCCGGCTTCGGAGCACCGTAGAAGGAGGAGAGGCCCATGCAGCCAAGACCTTGCGACGATACCTCAAGGCCTTGGCTTCCCAGCTTCATCCTCTTCACTCCGCAAGCTTCCGCCATTGATTTAGCTCACACCTCTTTCTTTCTCTGTCTCTTTGACTCTTGTAGAGTTTTGAATTGAGTGGAGAGGTTGTTGGAGTTGGGTTGGTGAAGGGTAATGATGAAAAATAATGCCGTTTCAACATCAATAAATGGTATTATCAACCGAAAAGGCAACAAAAAAACCAATTTAATTTGTCTTTCTTTATCTTTTTCGAGTTCATGAATTTATGGATCGACCAAAAAAAAAGAATTTAATTGTTGATATTTCTTACTACTTTTACTGATTTTATTTTTTTACTAAATTTACACAAAAGAAAATTATAGATATATCTTTGAATTAATATTCGTCCAAGAAAAAATTTCCATTAAAATGATATAAACATAGTACTGTTACTACTGTATGTAGTTATTTACTGGTATATAACAGTGTGAATAACTTTTTTTTTTGTTTTTTGAGAAAAAACTTTGTGAATAACTTGATCTTCATAAACCTTGATCATGATAAAATTCAGATATTTCAAAGTTTTATAAAGTCTCCTAAAACTTGGTGAATTAACGCTCGAATCATATGCATATTTTATTCTCTGAGATTATTGAAGCCCCCATAGCAAGCTCAAACTCTCCAAGATGCAATGCAAAACAAACAAGCGCAACATGTTATTACCTCGTATTGGAGTTGCAGACATAAGCTAAACCACTTCGATCCCATGTACGTATCACCATAACCAGAGAGACTCTCAACCGGTTTTATGAGGCTTTCCAAGAAGACAACGGTGGAGTGTCGGAGTTCTTGAAGGTGGGCACCATGGCCGTGTATCTGTCTCCTTTAACAGACTCAGGTTGGCCAATGACCTCAAGCTCAGCAATATCTTCTGGAGTGAGTTTCACTGATAAAGCGCCAATGTTCTGGTTAAGGTTTTCGATCTTGGTGGTTCCTGGGATGGGGCAAACATCATCTCCCTGGTGGTGAACCCACGCGAGTGCTAGTTGTGCTGGAGTGCATCCTTTCTTCTCAGACATTGCACAAACCTTCTCGTACAGAATCTTGTTGTGGTCTAAGTTTTCTTGTTGGAATCTTGGTAGAGTCTGCAATAAGAAACAGAATTGAGCTTATCTAAGGTTCCATCAATCAAGTTGTTTGAATGCAAATAACAGTAGTTGCCTTTCTGAAGTCATCATTGTCTAGCTTCTCAACAAGTTTGGGTCCAGATGCGAAGAAACCTCGTCCTAGAGGACTGTAAGCAACAATCCCAATCCTAAGTTCCCTGAAGAAAGCAAAGAGTGAACATGAAGTTTCATGATTGATGGATATAGCACCAATAAAGAAGAATGAAATCTAGATACCTGCAGGTTGGAACGATTTCTTCTTCCACGTCTCTCGTCCACAAGGACCACTCTAGCTGCACAGCAGTTATTGGGTGAACCGCATGCGCTCTTCTGATAGTTGAGGCAGAGGCTTCAGATAAACCAATGTACTTTATTTTACCTTCTTCAACCAGCTTCTTCAGTTCTCCCATCTTGGAATTGATAGACAAGCTTGATAAGTTCAGTAAAAAGGTGCTGGCTTTCTATAAAATTCAAGAAATGTGGCAAACCAATTCGAACAAGCAACCTTTAAGGAGTCTAATTGAGCAAAACCCCTCAGGGAATAAGCTAGCAGTATCACAAACAGAGGAAAAAGTGACATATCATTTGTCTCCAATCTATTTTCTTAGGACCTATTTCTTCAATCTTATCCAAAGCCAAAAATGAACCTACTTGGGAACTTTGAGGCATAGAGGAGGATTTGCAAGAGGAGGGCTTACAGTGATTTCGATAGGGACACGAGTATCGACCCGATGCTGATAATAGAGATCAATGCAGGCAACATCTAGCCGCTTTAAGCTTGCTTCACACGCAGCCCTCACATACGCAGGATCTCCCCTTACCTCTCGCTTTCCCTCTGCATAAGTGGCACCAAATTTGGTCGCAAGTTCCACTTTTTCCCTCACTCCATCAACCTTCAGAGCCTACCAAAATTCAAAATCTCTAACAATTAAACTCATTTCTACGAACGTGAAGCTCAAAGGATCAAGGCCAATTCCTCCAAAATCAAATGTACATTGGACGATTGCTCCATAATCAATCATCTAAAGAAATCGAACAATACATGATCAAATCGAATATCAGATATTTCGAAATTCGAAACCTTTCCGATGAGCAACTCATTGGTTTCGGGACCGTAGACATCGGAGGTGTCGAGGAAAGTGATCCCGGAGACAATTGCGTGGTGAAGAAGAGCGATTGCGTCGGTTTCAGGCTTGGAAGGACCGTAGAAAGCGGAAATGCCCATGCAACCAAGGCCTTGCGCCGATACCTCAAGGCCTTGGGTTCCCAGCTTCATCTTCCTCACTCCACAAGTCGCCATGGATTACTCTCTCTCCCTCTCTCGATCGAGTCTCGACTCTTGAATTGGGTTTCTGTTGTTGGACGCTTGTAGAGTTTTGTTCTGAAGAAAATAGCCGAATATAAAAGTTGACCATTTTAACCCTACTGAACGGTTTACAAATTGGTTTTCTATCCAATTCGATTTAGTGATTGGTTTAGGTGGGAATTAGACTATTAGTAAACTGTTAGAGCATCTCCAGAACTCCAAAAAAGAGTTTATAGGTTTTTTTTTAGTTTTTTTTTTATAAATCGGATGAACCCCAACCAATTTTTGCACCTCCAACCATGAACTCCAACCAATTTCATCAAAAACTCCTAAATTTTATCAAATCGAAGAATTATAAAATAATCCCCAAATGACGAAACCCTAATTCTAAACAATGAAATAACAAGTAGAACGAAGTTCGATCAATAGTCTACATACCTTTGGTTTTGAAATCGGTGAAAACTGGCTCGAATAACCGATGACAGTGTTGAGGATGTCGATTGGCGAATATCAGGTGGAGAAGGGTTTTTTTTCGAGTCGAAATTTTACAAAGAGAAGGAGAAGACCCAAGAAATTTTTTTTTCCACCAGGCCACTCATATTTCGCCACGTCGTCAGTGATACTCGGTAATACAGGTTCAAAAGTATGACTCCACTCATACGGAATCAATTGAAATGAGCTCATTATATTATTTTTAAAACCACAGAATTGAGCAGGCCCCACTTGTGAATCTCTTATGAGACTCCGTTGGAGCTGCTCTAATTCACGGTATTGTATTATATTTGTCCCACCATTTTGTTGGTCCGGTCCGGTCTTTGATTTTGACAGTTTGTTACAGGTATTAGTTTTTTCTATTATAAGAATGGTTGAGACCTGTATGTTACAGTTACATATGGTGGTGGAATTGAGTTTTTTTTTTTTTTTACCAATTCAAGTTAGATTCATAAGAAAAAATTAGTGACAATGGTCAACGACTAAACCATTTCATGATCAATTGATTATACATTGCAACACAAGTAAACTACAAAAGAAAAAACATTACATTTTGTACATACATTTCTTTCTAAGGCAATGGCTCTTTCTTATTGCAAACTCTTAGACCCATGTACCTAAACTTATTCACACACCCAAACCAGTAATCACACAATGAGCCAAACAGATTACAAACTCAACATAGACGGAGAAACTTCTCCAATGCAAATATTTGTTTTTTTTAAGTTGCTTTCCAAGTAGACAATGGTGGAGTCTCTGAGTTCTTGTAAGTAGCCATGTTGTTGTCATACCGTTCACCCTTCACGAAATCCGGTTTGGCAATGGCTTCAAGCTCAGCCATTTCTTCAGGAGTGAGCTTCACGGACAATGCTCCAATGTTCTGGTTTAGGTTTTCGATCTTGGAAGTTCCTGGAATGGGACAGACATCATCTCCTCTGTGATGAACCCATGCCAAAGCTAGTTGTGCAGGAGTGCAGCTTTTCTTTGTCGCCATCGCTTGAACTTTCTCGTAGAGAATCTTGTTGTGGTCTAGATTCTCCTGTTGGAACCTAGGTAGATCCTGTGACAGAGCAATAGCAATAAGCAGAACATACTAAGATCATCACTCCAAAATCTTGAAATGTGCTACAATGTTGGTTTAAGAAACAAAGAACATATATATACTTGCCTTCCGATAGTCATCTTGGTCTAGATTCTCAACAAGCTTGGGTCCTGATGCCAAGAAGCCTCTTCCTAAAGGGCTATAAGCTACAATTCCAATCCCAAGCTCCCTAGAGATATTACAAGAGATGAGATATGACTTAAAACATGTAAACGAAGAGGAAAGTTATGTATGCCTGATTCTGATTCCGCACACCTGCAAGTAGGAATGATATCTTCTTCCACGTCTCTAGACCACAAGGACCATTCTATTTGCACAGCGGTTATTGGGAGAACAGCATGTGCTCTTCTGATAGTTGAAGCTGAAGCTTCAGATAAACCAATATACTTTATTTTACCTTCTTCAGTTAGCTTCTTCAATTCTCCCATCTATGAAAAACACATTTCACTCAAACCATAAGTTCAACAAAAGAAAAAGGAGCAAAACAAAATATATACCAAACCAAAAGCAGGTCAAGAAACAGAGCATTAGTTTTGTCATGAAATAAGCGATGAATCATCACAAGCCAGGCCTGTCATATAAGCATATCTCAAACTAAAACCAAGAAGCCATACCGTAACTTCGATGGGGACAGTGGTATCGATCCGATGCTGGTAATAAAGATCAATGGAGGTAACACCAAGACGCCTTAAACTTGCTTCACAAGCAGACCTCACATACTCTGGATCTCCCCTGAAACCAAATTTTCCATCTTCAGAAGCAGTGATCCCAAATTTTGTCGCTAATTCCACTTTCTCCCTCAACCCATCTTTCAATGCCTGTCAACGAATGTAAAAGCTCGATGGTTGGCACGAACCCTTAATCACAGCCTAAACCCTAAATCATTGATTTGTTTACCTTGCCGAGGAGCAGCTCGTTTGTCTCGGGGCCGTAGATGTCTGATGTGTCTAGGAATGTGATTCCGGCGTTAATGGCGTGACGGAGGAGAGAGACGGCGTTAGTCTCAGGTGTCGGAGCACCGTAGAAGGCGGAGAGACCCATGCAACCAAGTCCCTGAGCCGACACTTCAAGGCCTTGGCTCCCAAGCTTCATCCTCCGTACCCCGCAAGCTTCCGCCATTGATTAATCAAAAGAAAGAAAGATTCAACGAAAATGGGTTTAGGTGGATTCAGGAGAAGATTCTAAGTGGGATTTATAGGAGTAGAGACTGTGGAGTGGGTGTGCCATTGCTCTGCCGGTTCAGTGTTCTGGATGTGTTTATTTATTATTAGTCAAAGAAAGCAAAGAGGAGTAAACCAAAAATTGTAGTCTTCTTAGGATTTGAATTGTACGTTTTGATTGTACAGTAAAATCTCTATAAATTAATAATATCGAGACCATGATATTTTATTAATTTATCGTAATATTAATTTATTTATAAATTAATAATTATTAATTTATAAAAAAATTGTTTTTTGTCTATCTTCTCCTTAAATTTTATTTAAATGTTGTTATATTTAAGAATCTAAACTCATATGTTTATAAAATGATATGCACAAACTTAGAATTATGATTATTAATCATAGTAATCACAATAGAATAGTGGTTTCTATTAATTTTGGACTAAATTATCTATGTAAGAATATAAATGTCTATTAATACAAAATTTATAAAAAGTTATGACTACTATCTTTAATGTTAATTAGTGCTGGAATTGAAAACAATAGCATTATATAATTCAAAACAGTTACTAGTAAAAAAAAAAAATTTTCACATCCAATTTTTTTTTATAAATTTTGAATGAAAATAAATAAAAAAACAATAACAACTATTGGTGTAAATAAGTAATGAAATGTTTTCAATAAAATTCTAAACTTAAATAAAAACAAACAACACATTAATCATATCTTAGTATATTATATCTTATATATATTGAAATTTATATAATTATTAATTTATGTTTATATTAGAACCACATAATTACATAGGGATTTCATAATAAATTATTATTTTATTATTTTATTGAATTTTATTGATTTTTACATTGGTTCCGATTCGGGATCGGATAAATTTATTAATTTATAATAATTATTAATTTATCGAGTATTAATTTATAGAGGTTCTACTATATTTTTTAATTTAAAGTTGTTATGATTAAAAAGAGACTAATTTTATATATCTATTGACGTCATTGATGATTTCATATCAGCACTCATCTTTGGAATATTCCATAATCATATTATAGTTTTGGAATTTTGATAATGAGATGGACCTTTCCAAGAAAAGTCCCTTAAAAAACACAACTAGTTGGAATAACCATTGACAATATATAAAAAATTGTTTAATAAAAATTACAATATCAAGATAACTAGATAAGGTGATTTCGAATTTACAATCATCAAATTTTCTGCTTTTCAAACACTGATTAGTAATCATCATCGGTCGGATATTTAAGTGCAATGAAAGAAGAATAGTGTGGTTAGAAATAATCAAAATTACTCCATGAATGAATTAAGTTGTGTTAACAGATATCTTCATTCACCATAAGGATAATGAATCGAAGTTTAGAGATGTTAGATGATGTTGAAAAAAAGAGGATAAGTTAGATTACTTATAATGCAAGTCATCTTTCAATAACTTTTCTTTTAACCATTAACTAGAAAACGGGCATTAGATTTGATTATCTATAAGATGACAGCATGTAAAAGAACAGCAGCAGCAAGAAGGGAAGACATCAAAGCACAAAACTCACCTTATAAATTCCATCTTTTGATAATGCAAATTTAGAGTGTTCCTTCACAGTTGAATCACAGAAAGATCGCACGAAATCCCAATCAAAACGCTCAGCCTCTTTAAACCAGAGAAAGAGCACATTTACCCAGATTTGTCACGAGTACTCTGTGCAATTCCTTCGGAAACAAGGCCGAACAATCACAGTTCGATCCTCCGATGATAGAACAGAGAAAAGTTGAAGGTAATTGGAGAAGGAGGAGAAGACATCGCCGACGTGGGACGATTCGATGAGAGAGAAGTAAAGGACGAAGGAAAGACAAAATGACAACTTTGGGCCTGTTCGTTTGATCGATGCCAGCGACACATGAATTTTGGAGACGCGCGACAACTTCATCTATCGGCAACAACCGTTAAAAACTTAAAAAGGTGACTGCAGGAAGTCGCTGATTTTTACAGCGTCACCGGCAACACCATCAACATCGATCAAAGTAAACGCAGCGTCATCATTTCTTTTCACTTCCGTTGAGTTTGCTTCCTTGGGTGTCTATTTTTATTGCCGCAGAACTTAGTCGCAGCGGCGACTTAACGAACAGGCCCTTTATTAAATTTGATTTCCAATGATTACATAACATCGTATATATAGACAAACCAGTAAAGAAAACCCTAGTAGCACACATGACAGGTGTCTACAGACAGCTAATCTCACACGATCCAAGAACGCTGA